AGGATACTCATGCATTGGCACACTTCTGCTTTGAACTTTAATCCACCTGCAAATCATAAATAAGCGCATGCACTGAACGAGGACTGTCTGCTTTTTCCCATGGCCTCCATCCAGATATCTGCCTTCAGGGGTGTGAAGGCCCCTGCCAAGGGTTCCAAGAAGGTGATTGGTTATTAAAGTTGTTGTGGGACTGATGCCGGATTCCTACAGCTCCTAAATAAATGCTTAATTATTTTCTTATTGGGGCATGTGGATCATGGAATGAGGCTGGATGAGTGTAATCAGATGAAGAGAGGCAATTATTAATCACCAGAAGCCACAGAGCTTAACTAAGAACTCTGTTCTTACCGTAGAATCTTGTTACTGGATCAAAAAGCAGTTGTTTACTGCCCTCTGTATTTACGAATTTAAGGCAGTAGAGAGAATAAATTTAGGAAATAGATCTATTTTCACCACTGTCAAGTTTTTTAGGATATCTCTCCATGAATCAAACTTTCACCCAACTTTTGACTTTCATGACAGTAACAAAGCCTGACAAGACTTACTGTCCCCATAGCTTACAATCCTGAAATCCAAATACTTGCTGTCAATAAATGATAGGAAGCTGATTTGTAAAGCATTTATCTCTCCTTAAAACTCTTAAAGGGAAGAATTAGTCCATCTGATCCACATTAGCACATGATCTTAAATAGAAAAAAAGGAAATACGCTCATGTTTAGTCGAGGGTGTTTTGGCATCTAATGTGCATATGTATTTCATTAGTTCACACAGATGCTCGCAATATAATCTCCAAGTGCATTTTTACTGGCATATCTTTACAGCCTCTACGCTACAGTATTCAAAGGATAGGATCGTTTTCCACTATGTCCTACGGCTCTCTGATGGGGTCCTACAGTGTTACCATCATGACAACAGCCTCAGCTTGTATAGAGCACAGTTATGTAGCAGAAGTTATGTTCCACTGAGACAGAAACTGTTTTATTCAGGGAAATGAGGAGGCAATGCAGTCTCTCTTCTACCTAAGATGGGATACTATGGAGCCAGATTAAGCTCAAAAGTATTGAAAAGTATTGTAAGTGAAAAAATAAAAAGTGAAGTGGAAAAATAAGATTTGAACCTGAAAAAAATAAAATGGTACCTGAAAGTCTTGAATTTAGAAATTGAACCTTGAAAAATCCCAGAATGCATGAAAAAATTTTGTTCAAATGTAACTTTGATTCTGTTTCTATTTTTCCACTTCAATGTATATTTCGATCTTGGAGTACTTTTTTTTTTTGATTGAATTTTATTTATTTATTTCAGATTCAGATCTTATTTTTACAGATTCAAAACATTTTTTTCGGTTTCAGATTATTTTTTTTCAGATTCAGATCTTTTTTCGGATTCAATTTAAAAAGTTTCAGGTTCACTTTTGACCCTGTTTTTCCGTGGGGGCGGGCCTCGACTGAGAGGGGCGCGGTCTGCCATGAGTGACAGGCCTCCCCATCCTTCCCCATCCCATCACCCTGTGTTCAGGAAGTGGCATGAATACACATTAGCTTAGCCTACAATTAGGCTGTATTGGCTGAATGAGATCGTGTTGGTTCGTTCCACTTCAGTGGGGCAACATAAACTGTGATTCATAAAATAGCTCTATTGATAGTGAATACTAAAAAAAAATATCTACTCATGCCATCCTGTCGATTTTTAGTAATCAGTGTTTCGATGTCGAACTATTTCCCCTCTGCGGCATCGTGATACTTGCACACACGCAATCGCAGGGGGTAAAACGATTTTTGTCATGTGGACCAATAGGAGCCGAGTCTCGTTGCCATAGTATCAGAAATACACAAACATGGCGACGACCGCATCTTGCAGCGAAGAGGAAGAAAAGAACAGGAAAAAAAAGAAAACAGCCTTCAAAAGCGCATAAAAATTGAACTTTTTCCCAGTTTTTTTTTCAGAAATACTTTTCTTTTTTTTTAATTTTCCTTTAGTTTTTTTTTTTTTTTAAATTTCAGTATTCTGCCTGTTTTAAAGTTTTTTTTTTTTTAGTATTACGTTTTTTTCCAGTTTTTCTTTTTCAGAAAAACTTTTACATATTTTTTTTTCTTCATTTTTTTGCTCGTTTTAAGGTTTTTTTTGTTTTGTTTTGTTTTTGGAGATTTCTTTTTAGAGAGTTTTTTTCTTCTTTCTTAAAGTACTTCCTTACTTCAAGGAAGTTACTTCTTTTTCCACTTCTCAGGCTTTTTCAACCCCAAGAAGTGTCTCGTTTGTTTCCAAACTGAGGGAGGTGGTTTGGTGGTATTAGAGGTTGTTGTCTCTGCTGGTCCTGCAGTTCCAACTAGTTCTGGAGATCCAGAGGTTTCTGCAATTTTCTCCATGTCCATGCAAAACTGCTCGATGTCCATGTCCATGAAGTCCTGCTCCTCAAGTATCATCTCTCGTTGCCAGATGTCTGTCTCTCGAGGTTGAAGCTCAGTTGAGAGTTCATTGTTTTGGGAGAGCAGGAAGGCACACTGACTCTTCAGCTCCTCAAGCTCTCTGTTGTATTCGCTCTCCTTCTTCATGCTGCTCTGCTGAAGGTCACTGATCTTTTCTGATAGCTCTTGCTGCTGACTCTCAGCCTGCTGTTTCAGAGTCTGGAGATCAGTTTCATTTTCTCTCTGAGCTCCTGGTTTATTTTTTTGATCTGCTCCAGCTCTTCCTGCAGAAGCTTGCTTCTGCTCTTTTCTTCTTGGAGTTCTGCTGTCATTGTCTTAAAGCTGGTTTCTTGGGCCACTTTAAGCTCCTCGTTGTCTACCATACCGGCTGTCTGGATGTCCTGTTCGGCTCTCAGGATCTGGATGGTCTGTTCCTGTAAGAGTCCATCATGGTGAGCCTGATTTTGCTGCTCACGCCGAAGAGTCTCATCTTCCTTTTTCACAGCGGTGAGGTCCCTTGCGAACTGGAAGTTTAGCTCTTGGTATGAGGTTCTCATCTTCTCCAGTTCTTCATGGAGGACCATGTTAATTTTCAGTCAGTTCCTGGACTTGTGTCGTGAGCCTCTTATTTTCCACAATGTGTGCTACCTTCAGCTCCTCATAATCGACATGAAAATCTTTCTTCTTCTTCTGCTGACTCGTGTCCCTCACCTTCAGAGCAATTCTGTGTTTGGAGAGGGTCTCCTCTGAGCTGTACTTTTGAAGCATCTGCAGCTCCTTTTTGATCTCCTTCCCTTTGTTAATGTACACTTCCTTGAGAGTCTTTTGTCTGGTCAGCTGCTGTTGACATTGATTTGAGCTGTTTTTGTAATAGATGCTCAGAGACATTTTTACAGCTGAAAAGAGTGTTAAATAAAGACTTGGTGGTGAGTAATGGCTTTTATGTTCATTTAAGAGCAGTTAAAATAGACCGGTCAAATTTGACCGGGAACACTACAGTAAGGTGAGGAGTATGAACACGACAGGAGGGTTAAAGCAAAAGCTACATGTCATGTTCGTATAAACTTAGATTTGAGACCAGAGAAATTAACTTAAAGTTGTGAACTGGTAAATGACCATTTTAATCACCTGACAAAGTTTGTATGCATGACACTTAATTACAAGAGTCCAGTTTATTCAGCCTAACCAGGCTGCTGCATTAGGCTACTAGATAACTGTGTGTGACACATTTTCAGGCTCATCAGTGGCATAGCCAGGGGGTGGCCAGGGGTGGCTACCCTGAAATCTTTAATTATGAATGGCTCTTGAAATTAGCTGTGTGAGTTTGTTTAATGGGATGCTAGAAGCTTCTTTGTATTTTAATGCACAGTGTTTTATTTTACTGGTATTTTAAAGGATGACTTACTACCAATTCCCACCGCACCTGGAAGAGCTATGAAAAGGCCGTATCCATCGATCGTAGCTAATCATAACCATTCAAGTCAATGAATTTGTTTAGGTCTAGATTTTTATCAACACCTTAGCTCTCCAAATAGGGCTGGGCGATAAAACAAGAATAATATGTGTCAAAAATGTATTTCCCTTGATATCAATATAAAACATGGTCAATATGCTTTTCAATAGTCGGCATTCTGCCATGTTTTAATAGACAGTGCGAATAGCCAATGAAAAGGGGAGTTGCTGCGGGTCCTGAACTGAACCGACCATTCAGTGTGCTTTCTCTAGCGTGACGCCTTATGACAAAACGTTGAAGAGACACAAAGACCTCACAGATGCTGAAGATTATAGTATTGAAAAAGACATGCTACCAATAAGCACTATTTATATACTTTTTATATCGTGATATATATCGATATGAACTGATATGAAAAAATATATCGTGATAAAGTTTTTCCCATATCGCGCAGCCCTATCTCCAAATGATTTTATTATGTAGGCTATATTATGAGTTTAAAAATAATACACTGAGAATATGATTGGTTTCCAGAAATAACCAGGTTTTGGCATATGTATGTTATTTGATTATTCAGTCCACTATATGGTAGTCGTTTCAAAGACTACAACAGTACTGCAGGATTGATTTACAACACCATCGAGAAGCCTGCATTGTCCCAACACCCACCAATTACACCTCCTCTTGAACCGCTGAAATTTGAGGCTCTACAACCACTATCACAGAGGAGGGGAAAAAAAAAAACATTAAAAAACCACAGTCCTGACATCCCTCTGCCCCTGTCTATCACTCACTCCGAGGACCTAAACTCAGACTTCAGGACTTCTCACAGAAACCGCTCTTTCCAGGGACTGAGCTCCATGTGAAAACCAAAATCACCAATCGCACCAGGCGGGTTTGGCTGTCCCCGAGCCTCCCCTGAAGTTGGAGATGCACACATGAGGTCTTTCTGCCTGGGTGGTCTCTCTACTTTAGTGAGCTGTTGCTAAGCAGCTAATAATAGTCGTGTTTGCTGAGTAATTTTTGCCCTTCTGGAACCAATCAGATGCAAGAAACTCCTGCAATCTGACAGCCCCAGAGGCGGGATCTCGACTCTTTTTTTTTATTTTCACCCCTCCTCCTCTCTGCCTCCAAATGGAGAGAGGTCTTTTTCTCCTTCTACTATTGAATCTCAGAGTTGGCCGTGACGCGCGGCCCATGGGAAGACCACATCGATCTCACCAGTATGCTACGACCATCGAACTTTCTTACCCGACGACTTGTGTATGGGAATCACTTTGCGCAGCTCGCTTTCTGAGAGAAACCTACTTTTTGACGAGACTCGGTGAATGCGGTGAAAGCGGTGGAGACCTCCGGATCACGAAATGTTGGGATGGAAGGCGCAGACTTTGACTCGCCGTCTCCAACTGGAGTATGAAGTCCTACTTCACGGGTGTGCGATCTCCAAGAGTGAAACTTTGTTGCCTCGGGATATCGCTTCACGCTTTCGGGGAAATACAATAAAGTGGGAAACGGTAACCACCTCGCAGTCCCCGCAACATGGCCTCGGCTGCTAATGCGCCCTCCGAGCAGGAAAACAGAGACCCCGATCGGCCGAGGATAACGCGGAGAAACAGGGGGGACTATACCCGCAACACACCGCTGGATTTGGAGTATTTGCAGCGGCCGAGCTACTGCGATGCGGGCTTCGCTTTGGAGCAAATAACCGAGGTGCTTATTTCTCATCTTATCCTGGAAACAGCTTTTATGCTCTTTGGTTTCATTGTAATCGCTGAAAAAAGTGGCCGAACTATGTCCCGTCGCTGCTAGGTAACGGACGGGCTGGGGCAGAGGGACACAGGGGTAAGGCAGGGTTGTAGTGAGCCGATAGTTTTGTTGATTCATGTAGTTCAGTCAAACAGAGTAACCGGCTTCTCTTTCGCATGTGGAACAAGCTGTTGTTCAAGCACAGCCGCTCGTTTCTCCCCCGTACAACATCCCAGCCTAACGGTCTCAGACAAGGCAAAAACACGCAGCTTCCCTCGCCGTGTACTCTGCGATTGACTCTTTCATAACAGCAGACTTCACACCTCTCTGCCAAAGAGCTCCCTTTAAAGCTGGCCTGTTTACAGTGACAGTATCTAAAACTCAGGCGACTCGCGTGAAGACAGGGGGAGAAAAAAAACCCATGTGGCTGCCCTCTTCCGTTCACAAATATTGTGAGTCCCCCCGTGATGGCTCCTCTTCACTCCCCCACGCAGGCCGGAACACACGGGCTGCTGCACGGGGAGTGGAGGAGCTGTGTGTGGTGGTATCTGTGGGCTTTTACCCCATGCACCTTTTGAGTTTGATGCTGCTTAAATGACAAATCACTCTACCTCCAGCATGTTTCGGAGCATAGCTGGTACACTTAAAAGTCTTTTACTAGAGTTATCTGTGATGTTGTGTAAAGGTTTGGTGCAGGATTTCAAGCCTCTTTTTTGCACACATTTGTGCATCTGACACATTTCCCTGTGGCTGCTTACTGCACAGTTGCTTGACAGGTATCTCCTTTTATTTTCCTGCATGCACTGCAGAGCTTCTAGGAGTGCAGCAGCACAAACCTGGGACACCAAACACCAGTCTCTCTTTGTGTGTGAGCATCTTCATAACAGAGAAACATAATAGACTGACCAGGCTGTGAGTCCGTGTGTAGGAGATGAAGATATTTGAATTTTGCATGTGTCCTGCCAAAGTTAAGTGACAGTAATAGAGTAGACCTGTGGATCACACTCTGGGGAGTCCTTGGTTGTTTCTAGACAGGATTTGGCTGATGTGTATACTTCAGTCATCACTGCTCAGCATAATAATGATTGTGTTGACTATTTTAACGACCGCTCCAGTTTCTTTTAATTCAAGCACTTACAAATCTCAGTCCATATTGAATCAAAACACCTGTTTCTCTCACATGAGGTTGATTTAGTCAAGGCTCACGACTGTCAAACCTTTCTTTGTGTGACATTAAACCTTTCTTCTTTAACCTAACAGAATCACCTGTTCAGGTAAGTCCAGTGTCTTTGTGTTTGAAACTGAAAGTAACGTCAAAACTCTTGTCTCATCATAGGGGAAGGCGACGGGAAGGAAAGCACCTCTATGGCTGAGAGCGAAGTTCCAGAGACTTTTATTTAGGCTGGGCTGTTACATACAAAAGAACTGCGGAAAGTTTTTGGTTGTGGGGCTCATGATTTTTGGAGCTTTTGCTGTGGGCTTACGGGCAGCTAATCTGGAGACGGACGTGGAGAAACTCTGGGTGGAAGGTGAGACAATCTGATTTGTTATTGGACGTTTCCGACAGTTTGTTTTTTCATGTGCATGTGTGTGAATGTATGTTGTGACTTTGCTGTAGTTGAGGCTGTGTGTTTTGATATTGCATGTTTGAAAGAGCATGGGATGGTTTATTGAAGGAAAAGTGGGTTAGTTTGTGCTACCAAACAAGCCCGTGGGATTGTTTATTGTTTAGAGCCTGGCAAAAAGCCAAGTGAAACTTGTAAATGATTTAATTCATCTAAAGATCCTCTCAGATTTCTCAAACCATGTTTGTTTCACTCAGAAGAAGAGCAAAGGGCAACTGTAGCTGTAGTCAGCAGCAAGGTTGTAATTAAGTTCATAAGCAGCTTTTGGGGTAGAGGAAATTTTTGTCAAAGCCGCCATTTTGTGAGAGTGTGTGAGTGTGTGTGAGTGTGTGTCTGCCTGCCCCCAGCAGTTGAATGCTCAGAGACTGTGTGTGGTCCCGTTTTGGACAGCTCTCAACTTTCCAGAGAGATTTGTCTCCGGCTGCAGGGAAAAAGTGGAGTGAGGACAAGAGCTCGTGTTTGTGGAGTGGATACGCCACTCACTTTTTTTTTCTTTCTTTTTTTTAATGTCAAGAAATAACTTATGAAGACTGAACAATTTAAAGGAGAAAAAAAAAAGAGCTGTGCATATGGGTGGTGCTTGGGGGGCAAGGGGAAGGGGCTGTGCTTTTTTCCTTTCCTTTGATCCGCATTCCTGCACTTATGGGCTCAAGTTGGCTGGAGGAGTCATGAATGGAGGAGTAGGTTTTTGCTGTTGAAGAATTGAATAAGTAATGTTTGGGTCATAAAAAACACACACAGACAAGGATTTCTACAAACTTACTGTCAGTTCTTGAGACTCCTCTTTTTTTTTTCCTCTCAGTTTCAGGTGGCCTCAGAATATAAGTCATGAGATCAAATGTTAAAGCACACGGATTCCTGTTCACATCAAAACCGTCTATCTCCCCAGGTTTGCTGTTGTGGCGTTGCGTGCAGCTGCAGGGGTCTGATAGACAGTGCATTCGCCTAATCTGTGACGCAGGCGCAGTTGGCAGAGGTTTAGGTTGAGGGGAGCCTCTTTAGTCCAGGACTCCTGATCGTAGCCAGAGGAACACACTGTTTTCACACCCTTTTCCCATGTCACCCCACGGTCATGTGTATGAGGGTGAGGGGCGCCGTATGAACCTGAGGGTTTACACTCTTCGTAGTGCATCCTTTCCTCCTAAGCCCCCGTCTTTGGGGCTGATAGAATTTTTGAGAAACAAGTCATTTGCTTTTAATCTGGTATCTATCCTGTTAAGTCATCTTTTATCAAATATATGATCAAAACGTTGAATTTGAACGCCTCTCTGTTGAGGTTGGCTGCCAACCTCTGAGCATGGACTATGGTTGGGTCTGTTTTTTGACATTAAAACAAAAAACGATCGCTTGTAATTCAACTTGTAATTTTAATGTCTCTCTGTATTCTCTCCAACATGTCCTACTGTTGACTTTATGAAGGCTTTTCTGGAAGGAGTGTTTCAAGTCTTTTGGTCCAACCCTTTGGCCATCAAAAAACACTCTAATTGTAACAAATATGTAAAAAAGCGCAAAATGTCTGTTTGTGACAAGAAATTGAACAGATTTAAAGAGTGTTTTGCATCTTTTCCATGTGAAGTCTTTTAAAAGTTCTTCCGTTTTTGTTAAATAAGGTACCAAAGCGCTTCGAATCTGACCACATGATCTGAAAATTGAAATATAAGTCAGTATTGTCCAGTAACTTCAGGCGCCCACACTTACACTTAACTGAGTAATTGAAACTTTTATGAAGCCTTGTTTTTGCTTCGTCCACCTTTCACTCTCTTCTCCTTCACTCAAGTTAGACCCCTGAGTCTTTGTGTATTGTGAGAACAGGCAAAAGAACCTGGCTCATACCGACACAGAGAGACCTGTTCATGCACACAGACTCTCACAAAGAGACTGGGCTGTGGTGGTTTCCTACGTCCCGGTACATGAGGGGTTCCAGATGTTGATAGGGAGAGATCTGTTTGTTTAGATTAGCCTGCACAGCTGAGGGATAGATTAGTTCTGCCTGGACCGTGGAACTCTGTGCAGGGGGACCGGCCCAATCGTATGAGAGGAAAAAGAGGAGCGAGAGAGAGAGAGGAGGAGAGGACAGAGCGCCTGTTTATGTTTCATTTGGAACTGCCCTCCGCAGGCGACCCATGGACGACCCCGCCTGGAAGCTTGTGTGGCCTGTGGACGCACGCACGCACGTATCTACACACAATCGCTCATACTGGATTTCGCAGTTGCGTTACATTTGAGTGTAGCAGCTTTTTTTTGCCTTTGTAATCCCATTTTGTGTCAGTCATGACCTCTTTTTTGACTGTTTTGGCATTAAACCATATACGTATACAGTAGCTGGTTAGTATGGGTATTCTATGCGCTGTCACGTGCCAAAGCTTTCACAGGGATTGTCTCCTCACACAGAGTGCTCACTCAGGACACAGGAGTTTCTGTTTATCAGCGAAAACGACAGAGATCAATTGGGAGTGAGCACGTGCCTGCTTTAAGAGGCGGATGTGCCAAACATCGGAAGATGTACCGGAGTTTGAGTTTTGCTTGTCGCAACACAAACAGAGGCGATATTTCACCCTCTTATGGTTCTCCTGTTAAGAATTGATGGTGACATGTTTTGTGGTCAGATCCACACTGCAGATAAACGCCACGATTGTGTCCACTGTGGCACTCACAGGAAATGATTAGCTCCAACAGGAAGTTGTAGTATTGTGAGCTCTCTTCTCTCATAAATGTGGCTTGCTGCTCTCGTGTGTGCTTTCTATGAAGTCAGAACCCTCGATGCATCATCAGTTTTAAGTTGCAGACAATACGAGATGATCCGACCACATCCAGCAGAGATACAGAGGAGAAAAGTAAAACCCCTTTAGAGTTCCTCCTGGCCACAAATGGAAAATGAAGCCATCCCCTAGCATTGTGGGTTAAGATAAACATGGGCAAAATTGTAAAGAAAATAGCAGCGCCGCCTGCGTCTAATTAAAACGGCTTCACGTAAACATTGGCCTTCCTGTAGGACGGCCCCTCACTCTTCTGCTGCGTCTGTACTGAGAGAGGAGCAGGAGATGTGGAGGGGTTAGGGAGCTGTGTTGGTAGGTTAAAGAAGGTACAGACAGTGGGAGAAAATTTGGAAATGGGGCTTTTGAAGCTCAAGCTCCGGGCAAGGGTTGAAGTTGAACCTGGGAGTTACTGTTAGCGAGAAAAGCTGGAGCTGTACAGTAATCCTGTCTGGTTTGTGGTTAGCCTGTAGCTTTAGCAGAGACTAAAGAGAGGATGGGGCCTGCAGCATTCACAGCATGTCTTTTGTTTACATCATGGACTTGAGTTGACCTACACAGAGATATGTGCGAGTGATTCAAGTTGAAATGAGTTTATAGTCCCTTAGATTTATGGCCTCCACTATGGATTGTAGTGTCAAGGCTGCAGACTGAGAGGAGGCCTCTGGTCCCAAAGCGCTTTCTTGGGGGACATAAGTGAAGAGGCCAGGGGCCACGGGGGTAGACCCCTGGGACCCTGAGGTCATCTTGTAGGGGCCCCGCTATTTAAAACCTCACCTGATACTCACCCTGTGGCCTGGGTGCGGAGTGAAGGCTCACAGCAGAGGGGGGGAGGCAGAAGTGGCAGCTGTCACCAGACGTTGTTTGTGTCCTGCATGTGATCGTATTTGTCCACTTGCGTACTTGTGTATCCCTGTGTGAGAGCAGTAATCGTAAAAGCATTATGTACCGTTTCCCTCTGTGACATTCTATTTAACCTTTTGACATCTGTCCTCCAGCAGAGGGCAGTGAATCAGAAATAAATATGATTTAATCTCTGGATTGCTGGGTAATAAATCTCGCTCTGAAATAGGATATGATTACTCAGAGGAGGTTGTCATTCCTGCTGTACTTACACAATATCTGTCAAAACACAACAATAATGAGGCAAATTCAATCACATCCTCCCCAAATATTCAAGGGATTTTGTCTCTCTTACTGCTTTGAGTTCATTCATTTGTCCGGATAATAAGTGATGATTTATAGCTTAATTTTGAACACATAAGACTATAAAAGTAGATTAAACTAATTTGACATCAACAGTATTAGCCACCGCTGCCAAAACCAGCACAGAGTTAACAGCACATGACTAGAAAAGTGTTTGATATGACTGTAGTTATGGATGAAATGGTGCCAGTCCTTGTTTCTTTGCATCCAGAGCCTGATTCAAAGGTACAGACTCCGCTCTGATAGGACCAAAAGTTCACCCCCTCCTCTCTCCCTTGCATGTCTGTTTTGCATCTAGCGTGATTAAGAGCTGAGTTGACAGAGTTGGTGGTTGTTTTGTTGTTCTGCTGGTAATAGCAGCCGCGGAGCAGGGAGCGGTATAATGTTAAGTGCATGCGGAAGAAGGCTTGACATCCTTTCTTGTGGACGAAGACGAGGAGGAGAAGGAGGAGGTGTCTCCACTGAGAGGATTGTGGTCTGCATGATTGAATTATGCAGCTTTTGATGTGTATGGCAGCATTGATTCGTGCACAGATGTACACACTCATCATAACTTTATGCGTTCCCATATGCAGAGAGGTTTTGGAGTGGTGGTTCTCATGAATGAGGAGGTGGTTGAGCACTGCTGGCGTGGCTTTTGACTTTCATGGACTTTTTTTCCTTCGTTTTCTCATCTTTTATCTGTTAATTTCCTTTTATTCCATCCCTTTACCTCACACTACTTTTGCACAGCAGCAAATTACACACTAACCCACCCACACCCAATAGTTTCCCTAGCTTGAACGCAATGTATCTATCATTCACTCTCCATTGATCTCACTCTCTAGTTTGAAGTCTGCGTCTACACACACTCACACATGAAGATACACGCACACACATCAGACATTTTATTCTTATTTTGCAAACTGGACTCAATTAAGTTTGTGTTTATCAGTTCACTACAAACAGGATTAAACCTCCATAGAAGGAATAACATTCCAGCGTGTTGTGTTAAACTTTACGAGTTGATGAAAAGTGCAGGCTAGCTGGTGAGGGATTTAGTGTGGGGAAACATTGCGCCTCTGGTACTGTACACAGACTTCCAGCGCTGTTTTCTCAAGCTAGCTCTCGCTCTTATTTCAAAGCACTTTTGTGTACATTAGCCCTATTTGGCGAAGGTAAAAATGAGAAATTATTTTTGAAACCTCGCTCATTAACTCTGATGTGTTTGTGTGTGTGTGTGTTTGCTCTCAATCCCATTCACAAGCAACATCCTGAGATGCCTCCAAGCTCTCTGTTTACATTTTGCATTCTTTCAGGCGCTCTTATTCAAAAACCAGAGCCCTGCGAATGACCGACCACAGGAGACTGTGGAGAGAATTACCCTCCCCCCTCTACCTCCCTCTTTCTCCCCCTCTCTCTCTCTTCTATCCCTCTCTTTTCCTCCCTGCCAGAAAGGTCTCTCTCTTTACCCGAGCCTCCTCCTTCTCCCCCCCTCTTGCCTCCCCTCCACCACCTCCACCACCACCACCACCACTCCCCCGTCCCTGGCTGGAGAGAGTGGCCTCAGAATGCCAGATGTATTACAGAGTGAGCCACGGCAATGTAAACACTCAGGCCTGCCATGAGAGCAGGGTGGTCTGGCCTCCCTCCTTCCCTTCCCTCCCCTCTCCTCCACTCCCTCCCTCCTCTCCCTCTTCCCCTTTCCTCTCTTCCCTCCCTCACAGCCCTGTCTGCCAGAGGGGTGGAGAAAGCACAAAACAGCAGAGGGAAAGTGTGTGAGTGTGTGTGGTGTGTGTTTGTGGGGGTAGGACGAAGCGAGGGAAGAAGCAGGAGTATAGTAGTGGTAGTGTGTTTGTGTTTTGGCTGCAGTGCCTACCGTACACCAGGAGAGAGATCGGGGTGTGGATTGATACTTCTCAGACTGCAGAGCAGAGAATTTTTCATGCAAACATACCATAAACCCCTCCAAATTGTGCGTGTCAATGGAATTTTTTCGACCACTTGTAGGCACATATGGGCTTACGTATCTAGTGGTATAGTTCATTGCAATTCCTGCAGCACAACGTCATAGAAATCTGGCAGCAGCAGCAATTACACAAGTACCACACATGCAAAGCAAGGCATAAAGATACAAAGATATAAAACGTTTCCCCTCTCAGATGATTGAGAGGTCTGGAGCTCCAGATTGACTCAGTATGCTTCAGAGAGAAGCTGTTTCAAGTGCTATCACTACCTTGCAAGTCTGATTGAAACACGAGACACAATAACCAGTCGGACTATAAATTACAGTGAAGGCAAATGTTATCGCTGCTTCTGTCATCATCTTTTTGGTTATCTGTTTGGACATTTACAACAGGCTATTTTGTGCAGAGCTTCTCTCACTGAGAGCAGAACAGAACAATAAATCAAATGCCTGCATGATTCAGAAGAAGCTTAAAGTGATTGATGCAGAAAATCAACTAACTTTGTAGTTATTCTTGGCAACTTCCACCTCATTGCTTTGGCTACGCAGACTGCAACTTGGCTTTTAGGATACATTCTAGTATATTCTGTTTTCTTCACCAAAGAGAAAAAGACCGTCTACATTACTTTTGTTTCATTAAATAGTAGAAGACAAAGGTGGGAAGGTTGTAGCTGTTATAGGGATGAAGTTCTCTTAGAAGCTGAAGCAAAACAGTCTACAAAAGGGTAAATGTGACTAACATGTAGGGCAGGGCAATAAACTGAAAATATACCGATACTGAAATTTACGACAATAACCAACGTCATTTTGCCCATGTCAATATATTCGGTGTCAAATAAATAAATAAATAAAAGTTGGTTTTGGATGTGTGTAAGTAGGCTATGGTCTCATGTTCCTTTAAGACCCTGTCCTACGTCAGAGATCTGACTCTACCCCATCTAGTCCGTAACAACAAAGCGGGAAAGACAGGTGAGGAGATGGTGGACGGTCCAAAAGTTGTAGCAGCTGGAGTGGCGACTGAAGTAGACAAAGTTAATGTGGGAGAGGATGAGCAGCTTGTGGAGTAGTTATAGTCCTTTTATCATTGAGGTGAGCTGCTCCATATATCTTGATATTGATTTGAGGCCATATCGCCCAGCCCTACTGACAAGCCTGTTTCACTCAGGCACTCCTGAAAGTTTCTGGAGCTTTACCCTTCCAAATTTTCCAATTTTTTGAGCTCATGCTCATCCCTCACAGTGTGAAAGTTTCCCTTTTAGATGAGGGAGGTAGTGAGCTAGGAGCATGAGTCTAAAGAGGTGGGAAAAGCACTCTGGAAAAGACACATTCAGACTTTTAAAATGCATGCAAATATGTCAGTCTGACTGAAATTGCACTTATCTAACTTCTCATGATCTGAGTAACATACCTAAATAATATAGTTGGGAATAGATTTTCTCTGTCATATATTCGTCTCACTCAAACTGAAACTGGCCTAAGCGTTCTGTTCATGTCCTAGTGTTAGCATGCCACACTTTGAGCCAAAATTAAAAAGCAAGAATGATACATGTTTACCGTATTTTATATCCCACCTTTAGGCATCATATAAAAATGGTCTTAATAATAGTGCAACAAATTGGAACTAATGTAAATATTTTTAACGAAACATGTCCCAAAGAAAATACTAGTTCAAGCTCTAGTGTGAGGGTAACTAAAACGTGCAATTAAAGGATCAAACGGAGAAAAAGAAAAATCATTACTCCCGCTCCCTTTTTTTATTTCCTCTGTCACTCTTTCTGCCTCTGTGTATTATATTCCACACATAGGAATGTGTGATTTTTTGGATACCTCAAATCATGGGCCATCTTTCCAGGAAATGACAGGGAGATGGCTGGTTGAGATTGGCTGCTCAGGCTCATGTCACGGTCTGTTATGGCTGGGCTGTGGGCCAATCACGGGGCAGCAAATACAGCAGTGGGGAGATGGCTCACCTGGCTTGCATTGGACAGGCACTGACAGGGGATACAGGATGAGATTTCCTTTCCTCCAAACAAAACTGGAACTGTGGAGCGGCTTCAAAATTTCTCCCTTTTTTTCACTGTCTGTTTTATTACATTAGGATGAATGATCACTTGGTTTTGGGAAAGATTTAAGCGCCGTTTAAAATGGTTGTTGCGTTAAGAACTCCTCATGTCCTTGTTGTTGCAAACACCAATTAAGACATCATTTGCCAAACCTCTGCACACATGCATGCACATACTACACACACAGACTCTCTGTCAGCATTTTCTTATCCTACTACTCCTTCCTCTGCCCTGTGAATCCATTGGCATTGAATAGGACTTTTCTGGTGCGGTGGGGGTGGGGGAGGGTGCGCAGTGAGAGAGTGGGACCTGAATGAAGGCAGCAACGTGGAAGAATCTGCCCATTGAGGAGTGTGTGAATGTACACCTCGGGCCCAGGGGAAGCAGCATTGGGAGCCAGCCGACTGCTAAATACACCCATTTGAGGGGCTGCAGGGGCCGGACAGGTGATTAGCATAATCAGGGGCAAGGGGGGCCATACATATGGTAATGCTGGAGTTTGAGGGGGGCGGTTTGGAGAGGAGAGAGTGTGTGGTGGTTGGGGGGGGGGCAGGGGTTGGCAGCTGGGGTGTCACATTTGTGTCAGGGGTCCGGCGCTCGGGGGGTGCTTAGCTTACACAGGGAGACGCCATACTACATCTGCATGTGAGTGCGCTAGTACTCCCCGTTTCTCATAACTTTTCCTTCTTCTTGCTTCATTATTTGTCTTTTTTATAATCATATCTTTTCCATCTTTTTATGTTTTACCCTTTCTCTGTTTAGAGCTCCCCATCTCTGTGAAAACTAAAAGAAGAGAGGGAAAAAGAGAGTGAGGGGGAGAGTACTGCAGAGTGAGGGGGGCTCTCTATGGGTCAGATGGGGTCTCAGCTCTCAGTGAGGCCTTTCAGCACATATTTGTGGCTGTGTGCACACCTGCATTGCAGTGCCCACATTCAAAACTCCTATTACTGCTTTACATAAGGCTGTGTTTGACTCGACTACAACCAGTGGCATGTTGGGGTCCCAATACTCCATCCACTGCTTCAACGCCACAGACTGAGAGCGTACCATTATCACACATGTCTTATTGGTTCAAGGCTTTCAAAGTTTCTCAGAGGATGAAAAATGCTCATGTGGATGATTAGATCACATCTTTTCTTCTTTCTGAAGTAATCCAGTATACTAAAAAGGTGGCTAAACAGAAGACATGGCTCAATGAAAATTTACACTAGATTGTGGGAAGGTGTAGCAGTGGACCAACAGTGACAGTACAAGGAAGGAGGTAGAGGCAGATGGACATGGAGGAATGCAACAGGTGTGTCGTTTATAGTGATCAGAGCCCCTTTTGGTTATTGACAGAAGCAGCTGAAAAGGAAACAAACAGGAAGGAAGAGAAAGGAGGAGGTGGGCACTACGGGAAGGGCTTGCTTGGGGACACTAAACAGTGGGAGTTAAAAGAAAAGCCAGGAGAGAGAATTCAAAGAGAACGATGTTATGAGGATTTGTGTGAACACGGAGTATCAAAGGTACAGCATATCAAAGTTTCAATATTGTGCAGTTTTACAATATCAAAGGGACCACCTGCAAATGATCAGAGGCTAATTCAATACAGTTCCATTAAGATTATCACTGAGAATATAATTTGAAAAGGAGCCACTGGCCTAGTGGTCTAAGTGCACATCCCATATGCAGAGGTCATGATTTTCATGTACACTGCTTTGGTTTAATTTCAGCCTGTGGCTCCTTTGCTGCATGTTTCCTGCCTTGTCCACTTTCCTGTCCTCTCAAAATATAGGCAAAAAAAATCCCAGAAAAATAAATCTTAAGAAGGAAGGTGATTTGACAACTTATTGCAATAATACAATGTTTGAAAACATTGAACTAAAGGATGACAATTAACTTTAGTTGCTAAGGGGCAACATCACACACCACTTGTCTGCATAAAACATTACATGTTTCTTGAGTTGCTTCACTTCTCAATAGAAAGTCAGTACATCGTCAAAACAAATGGTAAGCATGTCATCTGCATATTCTTTTATCCAACAGTTAAGAATTGAAATAGCACAAGATGCTGACTGATAATGTAGATTAGATTAGATATTCCTTTATTTATCCATCAATGGGGAAATTAAAATTGTCGACAGCAGCAGTACACACAACATACACATTCACACATACTGGGTACAAAAACAAATACAGATAAAAGAACTAGAGTAAAAAAGAAAGAGCAGTGCAAGAGAGGGACCGTTTAAAATACAAGCATAAAAAATATAAAAAGAGAAAAAGATCAGTGCCAACAAAAACAGATATGGATGTGATGATGTACGGGTTAAAACTGACTGTTCACAAACACATCAAACAAAAGTTGCTGTTAACTCGTGTTTCTTTTTGGCTTTATTTCCACAGATCTCTAAATTCAGCTCATTTAGTGAAAAGAGTAGCTGGCTAGTAAATATAGCAGTCTCTCTTGCACATAATAATGATACCAGCATGTATTGAGTCATAGCAGCAGAGGGGAATAACTGGGCACAGACCATGTGTGATCAGTGATAACTTATACCTCAACTGTGTATCCTACTGCAGCTGGTTGAAACATTGTGCTCAAATGTCTTAAGTTATCATTTTTGCACAGTTATGATACACTGAAACTAGCCTATGTGAACAGATTTATCCATAGCTGCTTCATCTCAACTTCAGGGAACTTTATAGAAGTTTTGTAACGAATTTAACTGAAATAATCGCTTTTAGGTATCTCTTCTTTTCTTCGTTGTCCATCATCTTTCCAACTTCTCAAGGTGCTTTTATGCTACATGTCACACCACATCCGTGCACCGATGGATGGTAGCTGCACTAGGAGCGTCAGTATGAACTCATCCCAACTCTATCTAACTCTCAGCCACTCCTTGATTTACTGGATATTTAATTTTTTGTATGAATGTAATCTACCCTGACATACTGAAGTATCCTGTTCTGCACTATCCAGTAAAGTTACATAAATGACAAACACAAAGTAATGGCTGACTGATTTCCACTGTTTTTAAAGTGTGAAATCTTCTGCAATTGCTGCCACTTCTTACATCTCTTATTTTTTCCCATTTCGAGTACGTGCATTTGAGGAGTTTCTCATCACTATCATGCGATAACTGTATCTCCCACTCAAAACAAACATTTGCATCACTGTCTTTTGTGTTTTTATACACTGACTTTGCACTCCGTCTTGTCTCTTTTGGCTGCTTGTGATAGTTTTTGGATCTCTTATCTTTTCCTGACAGTGTTGTGCAGAGATCTGTGCAGCCCTCGTCCTTCCTCTGTCAGTGTACAGCTCAGGGTATGGGAGGTCGCTGGAGACTTGGTGGCGGAGAGATGACCTGGTTTTGGGGGGCTTCCTCCTCACCACAGGGGGTCCCTGCTGAGAGGGGGCCTAATCCAGCTAATCCTTTCTCTGCACACACACACATATCCACACACACATGTAAGCACACACGCAAAATTTGGCTACGTGCACGTAAATACAGTATCCTACTTGTATTTACGTATGCATGCATGCACACAAATGGATGATTTCATTAGCATGCACTAACCTTGTATTGTTTAAAAATGTACAAGGTATTTCAGTAAAGATACTCGGACATGTCTGCTTTCTGTCAGTGGTAGGAGTAACTTTTCTAAGCACAGCACTTGCAAAGTTTGTATGTTTTGATACCAATATCAGAGATGCAGGAGTTGTTTGCCGCTTCTGCTGCGTGTTTTCCTTGAAAGTACAGGATGCTTCCGTTGTCAGGCGTCAGAGATGTGCAGGGGGTGGGGCTTTGCTGTTGTGTGTTGCTTGAAAAAGAGAGAAAGTTGGCAAGAAGAAAGGGGGGTGGGCTGGCTTTGACAGAGGGGCCGGGCTGATTGCCATCATGATCTGGCCAATCACTGAGTAGACCTGAATGGAGCAGAGAGAGAAAAAAATGAGAGTATAAAGAGGAGGGGGGAGTTTAAGGCTGAAAAGAGGGGGGTGATGTCAGTTCCTTAGAAACCTACTTTCTCTGGACTCGTCCCCGCAGCCCCCCATTCCCCTGCTTTGAGAATAGGGGGGACCAGGGGTTAATGTTATGCAACATACTGAATACCCACACTGAGCGCTCCAATACAGTGACACACATAGAACTGCTTCTCTTCTTCTTCTACTTTTACTCCCCCTCTCCTTTTCTCTCTCCTTTTTCTTTGCAGTTCTACTATTTTGGCTCAGTTGAAAAGTTTTTTTTGATTTTTCCACAAGCTCGGTGATACTTGTACACTGAAACACATATACAGTATTTCGAAGATAACGCATTTAGATAACATCTCTGGTTGTACGAAGTGTGAAATGAGACACGGTTGCTTTCAGCCAAACTGCTTTCCCATTATCAGCATTGGAATCAGCTTATGAAAAACGAATATCAGTGGACCACAAAAGCGAACACAAAGTACTGAAACAAAGATTTAATGGATTTAAAATTCATTCGTCTAACCAGCCTGAAAAATAGTTCCCTGTCTCTGTGGTTGGTGGCGCCTTGATATCAGCTATTGTTATTAGATTAATAAATGATAACTGGGTATTTTATTCAAAGTAAAGTCAAAACATTAGCAATTCAGTCGGTATTTTGATGCACATCACAATTCATCTGTAAACTACAACTGCACTGCACCGTAATACATCCACAATTCCACTTACAATACAGATTGGGATGATTGGTCCTCCCTCAGTCACACACATGATGAAGTTAATAAAATACAAAAATTGAGAACTTAACTGGGAACTTAGCTGGGGTGCACATCTGTTGTACGAGAGAGAGAGAAAAAAATATTACCTTTGTATAACGGTTGAAAAAGAAAAACAGATGAAAAAGGGAAATGGATGTAAGACCTGGTACAAGAAAAATGATGGATGAATGGGAGTGACATATCTAATCCATCTTTTCAAAAAGAGTCCCTGTTTTAGTCTTACAGCAAAAGTAATTCTTTCCATCTTGCACATCGCAGTTTTAAAATGTTTTGTTCTCCAAACAAATTAACAGCAATATAAAAACATATCCTCCATGTTTGGGTATGGTTTGGCTCAGCTGGTGGAGTAGGCACCCTGTGCAGAGATTGATTCTTGGTCCTAGTATGAGTGTGTGTCACTCCCCCCTCCCACCCTATGTTTCTGTCTCTCTCAGGTTTCTCTGTCAAATAAAAGACTAAAGACTAAAAGACACCATCCTGAATGTTGTTCACTGATAGTGTTCAGAGGTAAGGTTTTGAAGAGGTCAAAAGAGCTCCAGCAACACTTGTAGTTCAGGAAAACAGCTTTATTCGACCGATGCGTTTCGGTCGACCCTGATGAAGACCACAAGCCGAAACGCGTCGGTTGAATAAAGCTGTTTTCCTGAACTACAAGTGCTGCTGGAGCTCTTTTGACCTCCTCAAGATCTTTTTTCTCTAAGCACCTTAAAGTTGGTGAAGTCGTGCTAGAATTTTTGTCCCCTAGAGGTAAGGTTTTGCCACATGGTCAACAGGCAACTTCCTTGATCGTGTGTTAATGTCCCTGAAGTTGCTTAAACTCTTGAGAATAAATAAGTGTTGTTAGCAAAGTTCTAATGTGAATAAGAGATAACTTAATAGTAAGAGTAATGTAGGATAGATGGGATGTGATTGTATCAGTGTGAATGTAAAAGAAAAAGGAAACGAGTTAGCAACGAGGTGTTAGGGGAAGCGTTCATAAGTCGGTGACACTTTGTTTTAGGTTGCAGCAGCTGAGCCCAGAGCGGGACACCTCCAAGACATCAACACATGCCGGGGTCAACCAGTTTTCTTAGCAGAAGGAATATGGGAATATGTGTCATTGAAGAAACACAGCTGTGTGTACACACACACACACACACACAAGCACGCACACACATGCACTCGCTCACTCACACACATTTTCCTGGTCCAGCTGGGGTGTTAATTTCACCCCAAGGCTGTGTGAGTGTTGACCCCAAAACGCTGTAACCTCGTGAAGTGTGGAATTCTCTAAGCCTGAGGCCGTGATGTGCTGTTTCCTGTAGAGAGAGCGAGTACATTCCTTTAACTTGTCCCAGTCCTGGCTGCTTGCTGTAAACTCAGGGTCTTTGGGTGGCAGTGACTTGGAATGTGTTCAAAACAGATAGTGGCGTCACTTAAACCTGCGCTTTTTTAAACTGATTTTTTCAATCGGAGCCTTCATTTCGTCCTCGCTCGTAAGGAAAACTGAGAATATTTGCTTTTTTTTCCTCCAAACTTCTGTTCCTATATTCCCTTTGGCAGTGTTTTTCAGCCGAGCCGTGGGCTGGCTTTCCGTTTGAGCGTTGAGTGTACCAGACAAGTCGACTTGTTGGTGCTCTGTCAATGTGTGTAGGGTCTAAATCAGTTCCATGCATGCTGTGTTTGAAGGCAGCACCGGCGCAGCGTAGCTGTGTAGCAGTGCAAAGCATGTCCCTCCAGTTAGCCTGGGCCTGCTATTAATGATGAGTATTATAAACATGCTTTCAGACAGGATCAGATGGGAATGCTGTTTGGGTCCAGAAAAAAAGAAATCAAGTGTGTTTTCTCTAATGCCCCAAGACATGGCCCCTCCCTCCCCGTTCCATTGGTCTGACTGGGTGGTCTGGCTCAGCAGAACAGGCATGCTTATGTTCAACTTTAATGCTATTACAATGGGCTGAAAATATTCAATCTATGCCTGCTGTTGCACGACTTGAGCGGAATTGTTAAATTGGATTAGAGCGTAATAAAATGTTACAGATTTTCACACAGTCGGCTCTCTCACTGGGCATTTTTCTTCATTTTGTTTGTGTGTGTGGGACAGAAGATGAATTCGCCCAAGCTTCCACCAGTCTCTGATGATAGTGGAGCTCAAATCCTCCGTTCATAAATCAGACACAGATAGGCTAAACTGCTGGATGGACAAGAGCGTGCACAAAACTCAGGCAGAGTTGAGCACTGCACGTGCAAAAAACCTGCAGCTGATACGGCTCTTATGGCGTTCATTTGTTTAATTTGGAATTATGAGACTTTTCAGGGCTTGCATGACTGCAATTGGCTGTATTTGTTTGTGTGTGTTTGTGGGAGAGCCTTTGCCAGACTTGCCTTGGCTGTGCTGGGGTGGAGCAGGGCAGCGAAAGAGCCTGAAAGGCTGCTTTTGTAGCTGAGGCTAGCTGAGAGCTCAGAGCGCACGCACAGGGCTTAGTCCCACCACGATACTGGGAGCAAAGCCTGGAAGAGAGGCTCTCTTGCTCGTCCCTCTTTCTCCCACTCACACACATCAACACACACTCTTTGTCAAACACATGCACTGTCAGAAACACGCACACACGTGGTCGGTCAGTTGGAGTGATGTTACTCCTCAGGATTCAGAGGAATTGGGAAGTCTTACATTGTAGTGGTACGAGCTCAATCCAAGGAGAATGCTTTTGTTTAAGATACATGTCTGATAAGGTCACAGCCCTGATGAGCTGTCTTTGGGTTTTTGTTGCAGACCGGTTCACTTCAGAGTTTTAACACATGATGCTGCCTATGTATGTGTGTCTATGTGAGAGTGTGTGAGAGCAAAACTACTGTGCAAAGATAAACGTAGACCTGGTTTGTACGATGTTTACCCAGTTTTAACCTCATTTGATCAGTAGGAGTGCATTTTTCAATAGCATTGAATACTCAAACTGAATCTTCTCTTCTCTCTCCAGTTGGTGGGCGTGTGAACCAGGAGCTGAGGTACACTCGGCAGAAGATAGGAGAGGAGGCCATGTTTAACCCTCAGCTGATGATCCAGACGCCGCGGGAGGAAGGAGCGAATGTTTTAACGGTGGAGGCGCTCCTGCAGCACCTGGATTCAGCACTAAGAGCCAGCAGAGTTCATGTTTACCTTTATGATAGGTAAGTAACAACCTGTTGTCCTGTCAACCCCCTTTTTTTATCTTGTATTTGAGCAACAAAAATTTCACCTGAAGTCAACATTTTGACATAAAGGGCATTTCGCTAAACAACACATGACTTATTATTACCCTGCAACAGGTATGCAGGGCTTGGAGTTAGACGTGTTGATTTACAGCTAAACGTGAGGATTGAATCCATGTAGAAACGATACCTGCTGTCTATAACCATGTATGTTCTTAAACATGATGATTTGTTGTCGAGCATCAGAGACTTTGTATGATTACGTAATGAGAAATCCTGAACAGAAACTCTTTTGTCCTCTTTTTCAGACAATGGAAATTAGAACACTTATGTTATAAATCAGGAGAACTAGTCACAGAAACTCATTTTATGAATCAGGTAAGCTGCCGACACTCTTGGTGTTCATTTTGACTCTTTGACAATAATGAGATTTATCAGTATCTATTCGTCCCCAGGGATTTTTCTTCCATCTTTCCTTTCCCATTGTTAATGTGTGTCAAACCTTTTTTGTTTTGGCCATGTTTTTGTCTAATTAGATCATAGAAAAGCTACATCCCTGCCTCATCATCACCCCTTTGGACTGTTTCTGGGAGGGAGCCAAGCTCCACTCTGGAATGCTTTATCTCCCGTAAGTACACAAAACTCCTTTTTACTAGGCTGAATTTGTATTTTATGATGTGTTGGTTCGATCACAATGTGCCAACACAGGCATGCATAACATGAAATCCACCAATCTCTTTTGAGCACACTGTCACATGATGTAACGTTTCAAAAAAAAACTAATTGGACTCAGAAAGGGCTTTCCTCACAGTGAGGCCAGTTTGCAAACTGATTCAAATGCACTTTGGGGACAATAAGACCTGAATACTGAGCTCATGAGTGCTTTTAGTGGAAGTAACAATGTTGTTACAGTAGTTTCACATTATTTTCAAGACACAGAAAGTGAGAATATGGCAATTTGGTGCTTGTTTTTACCCTCTTTGGAAGAGTTTGCCCAAACATGCTCAGCTCATCTAAAAAGACACCAGAGAGAAACAAGAGTGTGTGTGCATGTGTGTGTGTCCTGAACTCGTCCCCTCTGAAGGCTCTATTGTAGTGGTTGCTGGCATGCGTATCGCTGGCGATAGTTTCTCTCCAGCCCTGGGCCTCACACCATTGTCTGGCCCTTCTGTTGCTAATGGCCTGCTGCTACAGTAATACTCAGCAGACCTTTACCTCTGCATGCATGTGCGCATGCACAAAATGTGTGTCTTTGCAATGATATTGTTTATATTTTTTTATTGTTTTGCTTTTTTTTTTTGCAAATGCATGAAGTGTATCCACTTCAGTCTTTGTCATGGGGGCTTTTGAATGCGTGTGTGCTGATCAGAGATGGTAAATAAGGTTTTTACTATGTTCTGGTTGGAAGGCTGGGAATAATAACCCAAGCCTGGTTAAGCACATACAATGTAGTCTGAATGACAGAGAGAGAGAGACTCAGAGAAAGAGAGGTTGGAATGTGTGAGGCAAAGGGAGACAAGGACTGGTTTGGAGCAGGAATTCAGCACCGCACCGTTGCATGATGGGAATTTGTCTCCATTTATTGTTTGCTGTCACATAGAAAGAAAGAGATTATTCTCTTCATTAAAAATGTGACTGTTATTCAAGGTTAGATGTTGAGGTTGTTGCACATCTGAAAATCAGCATCAAACAAATCACAGTCTCTTATTTTTCTAATAAAGAGTCTAATTTAAGCAATTGTCCTGTAGAGAAGTTTGAAGTTAGCGACGTAAGAAGTTCAGAGAGCCAGCAAAACAGGAACTTGTACCCAGGGACAAAAACTACATGTTATGCACTATACCTTACCTCCATCTACCTAGGGCTGGGCGATAAACCGAAAATTTAACAATACTGAAATTTACAACAATAAACGACGCCATTTTGGTATATTTGGTGTCAAAAAAAAATAGAAGTTGGTTTTGGATGTGTGTAAGTGGGCTATGGTCTCATGTCTTTTTAAGACGCTATCCTACATCAGGGATGTGACTCTACCCCATCCAGTCTGTAACAAAGAGGGAAAGACAGGTGAGGAGATGGAGGATGGTTTAAAAAAGTTGGAGCGGTAGAAGTGGCGGCTGAAGTAGATGAAGTTAGTGTGGGAGGGGGTGAGCATTTTGTGAAGTAGTTATCGTCCATTTATTGTTATCGAGGCCATATCACCCAGCTCTACTTCTACCTACATCCAAGAGAGGATCAGAAACTCACTCTTAAGCTGTCGGGATGCATGTTATTGATATCCGTAATGATACTGATATTTGATATAACCACTCAGCTAGTTCTGCTGCTTTTTCATAACCACTTTGTAAAGCTTAATGTCTGTTTTTAAAATACCATAGAGGATTTGATGTCCTAAAGCTGTTGACACTGGTCCCTTCTGACTAGTCTAAAAAGTCCTCAACAGCCAGATTATGCAAACTACATCAATGAACTTGTAAAAAAATACTAGAACTTGGTCTCCCTGTGATTGATGTGTGAAATGGAAGTACTTTTTCAGCTTTCTTTATGCAGGAAATACAAATTGAATGTGGCTCTATTAAAATAGATGAACCGCTAAAAAGTTTTCTTCACACTTCTAAATCTACAGTGGTAAAGACCCTTTCCAGTGGACCAACTTTGACCCTAAAGAGTTCCTCGAAGACCTACGACGACTAAACTTCCCTGTGGAGGGTTTTGAAGACATGTTGGAGAAGGCGGACGTTGGACACGGCTACATGGATAGACCCTGCCTGAACCCTGCTGACCCTGACTGTCCCCTTACTGCGCCCAATAAGAACTCAACAAAGGTGTGCGCGCATATTTATGCTCAGAGTATCAGAGTACAACTTTTATATATTTTTTGGTAAAGCTTCAAGTCTTGAGTTTGAGCTCGGCTGCTGACAGTAAATTTCTTGCCTGTTGCTTCTATTGCACCAGCCATTCGACGTGGCGCAGGCCCTAAGAGGAGGCTGCCACGGTCTGTCCAGGAAGTACATGCACTGGCAGGAGGAACTGATCGTGGGAGGGACCACCAAGAACGGCAGTGGACCCCTGCTCAGGTAACATACCCATACTTACACATGCACACCCTCATAAACACTGCTGTGATCACTGCAGGGCTTATTCTGGAGAGAGTGTGTGTTTTTTTGTTCTTTTATGCTCTGCGGAACGGTGCGTGCATGCATGCGTGCGTGTGTGCGCTCTTGTGCTGTAAATCTTGCAGTCATTAGCAGATTCCAGTGAAATCTTAGAACTCCAGCTGTTCCTGCTCAGCTCTGGCTGCTCTGCCTGGACACTACCTACACATACACACACACACATGTGCACAAAATGATCTATAGCCTGGCTAGTTTGTCCAAATATACAGCGATTTGGGGTACACGGCCTTAATTCCAGCACAAGCAGCAGTACAAAGCTTATAGATTATGTGGTGTACCATTGGATATATAATGAGCGCGGTTTAAGCCCGCAAAAAGGTGCATGTCCTCCACATATCATGCTCTCTGTACACATTCAAACAAGGAGGAAAGGAACTGAAACATGCACAAGTGAAAGGGAGCTTCCTTTAGCGGGGAAAAGCTAAAAGAAAGTGTGCAATTTTACAAATAGACCACTTACTTAAATGAGAAATTTCAGTGTGGACTGTACACACACACACACACACACATACTGATGCATTAACACACATGCTGGTAATAGAGTACAGTGGGGTGCGTTGTTTGTTTTGTGGTTGTGTTTTTTCCTGGCAAGGTTGGGTCATTAGGGTGTCTGTGCGTGCCTGCCTGCCTGTGTGTGTTTCTGTGTGTGTTTGTGTGTATGTGTGATTTAGTCACCCTGTCCTTTGGGCTGTTACTGCTGGCACTCAATTTCTACATCTTGTTTACTAACTGCCACCATTACCGTGATTATCACCATATTACAGAGATCACATTCATAAAGAGAACGACGAGCTAATGTCGACTCCTTTGGTTCGTAAAATTTGACGACCTGACACCACATAGACTGACTCGATCACAGTTTTTAAGCGGCAGACTGTTCCAGAGTAATTTCTTAATGACTTATTAGTTGAATTTTTTTTTTTTACGACTTTCCTGGTGTGTGTGTACAAGGAGGGTGCATTCCTCATTTCATTAGATACCATGGCACTCTTAAAATCTGTCAGAACACGATCAGGAATCTTGTAGATTAGGACCGGATACCTATTTTATGAGATCTGGCACCTTCCTTTGTCGCTATAAAAGCCAGACTGTACATTTCTGTTATACTTATATTTTCTGCCTTTCTGTGTCTTTGACTGGAATGAAATAAAAATGGGGAAGAGATAAGATTTAGAAGGACACCATAGCTGTTTAGAAGTAGGAACATTTATAGGATGAATACTAAGGCAGCTTTGTCGAGCCCTACACATCATACTATTGCAAAGATGATGCATCAATGGCTGTTTGGCATTATGAAAACAATATGTCAACTACAATTTTGAAATATATTATCAATCTAGTCCTTATGATGCCATGAAACCATGTCGTATGATTTTGTCGTTCATTAATCTGCAAATGGAATCTTTTAGTGTCTCTGCATAAACACTTACTGCAGCTGTATTGCTGCTACTTTATAAGTCATTCAGGAAATAATCCGGAGATTACTTCAAGTGAAAACAACCCAGCGCAAATATTTTACATGGCTTAACAAGTGGATGTTTGTTGTGTGCGGTGTGTGGCAAACGAAGCAGGTTTCATGGCTGTGGGCATCTGTATTCTTGGCTCAGCAGCCACATCAGATGGAACAATATTATGGTTGTGCTGCAGGTGTGCTTTACTCTTAACACACTGTTGTTTATGATGCATTTTTTCAACATACTTTTTCCAGGCACTGTGGTCCTGGTGTTTTTTTCCTCTCTTCCTTCACTGGTTACATTAGCACCCTCTCTGTTTTTTGTAGATTATTTTGTCATTTTACACCTTTTCTGTCCATGAGTGTAGAACAGGGATGTGGGCATGTAGTTGACTTGCACTGTTAAAATGAATCTGCCTCTCACTCACTCAAATGTAGATTATTTGTTGCATCTAAGATGTAGAGAAGCCACATGCCTCTTGTCAAAGCTGTAGCTCAGGTTAAAGGGATATTCCGGAGTAAAATTAATTTAGGGTCAAACACGCTGTAACACTGAGTTAGACACCTCCTTGAGAGATGAGTGTTGTCGACCGTTTGCTTCTCTAGTTATAACAACTTTAGTAACGACCGCAGGATAGCAATACACAGCGGTCTGAGGAGTCACACACAAACCTCAACCAAAAAGCCACTCTATAGCCACAAATAATGCTCAGAACAGCACCTAACTTCATCAACAGTACATATAGGGTCCCAGCCATAGTACTAGCCACCAAACATCTTTTTAACTTTGCCTAATTTCTTTAGAAAAGAGACTAAACACAACTCACCTACTCTCTTCCAGCAGCCGCTTGTTTGTAGTGAGACCTCAGGCCAGTCCATTACGGACTACAGCGGGGTTACGCAGCTCAAGGAAGAACATTTATGATCATTTCTTCATTGAAATGCAATCAGACCGAGACACTAAGGCAAAAGAACTGCAGCATCTGCAGTGCAAAATGATTAATATGATGATTTTTACTTCAAGGAAATAATAAAGTAATGATCATAAATGTTCTTCCTTGAGTTGCGTCACCCCGCTGTAGTCCGTAATGGACTGGCCCTTGCTTGCAAGCGGCTGCTGAAAGAGAGTAGGTGAGTTATGTTTAGTCTCTTTGCTAAAGATATTAGGGAAAGTTAAAAAGATGTTTGGTGGCTAGTGCTATGGCTGGGACCCTTTATGTACTGTTGATGAAGTTAGGTGCTGTTCTGAGCATTATTTATGGCTATAGAGTGGCGTTTTGGTTGAGGTTTGTTTATGGCTCCTCAGACTGCTGTGTATTGCGGTCGTTACTAAAGTTGGTATAACTAGAGAAGCAAAGAAGACCCTTAATTGATTTTATGCCGGAATATCCCTTTGATGGCTCATGTTGTGATGCTATAACACTCTACCATCCAAATTAAAACAAGCACAGATTACAGATAGTGTCTTGCAGGCTGTGTCTGATTAAACTTGCATAAAAACATCTGACCAAAGCAGTATGTAACCGACACAGGTATGTGGATGTTAACTTACAGGGAGGATGATAGAATTAGCCGCACATGTCAAACCGACAAATCAACATAATTTACCTGCAGACTCTCTGGTGCTGTTTTACAGCTGTGCTGCAAAACTTGTGCTCAGTTTTGATTGTCTTCTGAGTGTTTTATCACCCTTAGATGTTTCAACGATTTGTTATTTTGACAAACGGCAAATATTGGTAAGGTTTAAAGCGCACTCAAGACACAATATTTATAAAGTCATAACTTAAAGCTCCTCAAAGTGTCCTGATGGATTTAATGTTAAAAGCACAATCCACAAAATGAGCTCTTGGCCTTGTTGATCTTTTCACTGAACACAAAGTTGACATTGAAGTCTTACACCTTATTAACCTCCTCTTTTTCCTCCCTCTTGCCTTGCCTCCTTCTCCTCTTCTTCTCTCCTGTGCAGTGCCCAGGCCTTACAGACCATGTTCCAACTGATGACTCCCAAGCAGATGTTTGAGCACTTCCGCGGCTATGATGATGTTTCTCGCATCAACTGGAATGAAGAGAAGGCTGCGGCTATACTGGAAGCCTGGCAAAGGAGATACTCTGAGGTAAGATACTCACAAATAGCCTTGAAAAAGAGAAAGAGAGAGAGAGAGAAAAGGGGGTAAGGAAGGAGCAGGGAGAAAAGAAATCTACCCTAAATCCTCTACAACCACATTGTAAATCACTAGCCGGATACAGGTGAACATGAAAAGGCCCCATCCAAAGCCAGGGCCCCTGATAGATCCTGGAACCACTGTTGGTGTGTGGTAAAGGGCTAAAGCTTCCCTCTCTCTGCTCAAGTAGAGAGAAGCATCAGGGTGAGCAAGTCTGGAATACATTAAGGGATTGCTGGATGTCTCTCTCTCTCTCTTTCTCTCTTTAACTCATGCACAAACGCACACACATGCGGACACACGCAAAAGTTCACACACAATCTCTTTCCCAGCTGTGGCCCCATTGGTGGCTCATGTGTGACATCATCTGGTCTTTGTTTTGGGGGGCCCCAACCTCTGTTCGCCATGGCGTGACCTTATGTGTGTGTGCGTGCAAGTGTGTGGATGTATACAAGTGCGTGTGTATGCCCATTCATCTTGAGGCCCAGTGATCGCAGATGGAAAAGAGGTGTGATCGTCCGCCGGGATGAAGTGTTTGTGTCTTTAAGTTCGAAAAAGCAGAAGAAGCCAAATGTTGCACTGTCTCAATGTGCATATTTATGTGTGTTTTAAGGACTGTGTGCATGAATAGTAAATGCATGCATACTGGTATGTGTCTGACACATGTGTGAATCCACACGTGGGTGCGAGAGTGTGTGTGTGATCTAGTGAGTGCTTCCTAATGTGTGTCAGCCAACATTACTCCCCACTGAGTAGTAACTGCTGTACAATGTTGAAGCCATCTGTCTGCTGGAGATAGTGAGAGAGGGAGAAGATGGGTCCGGGTACTGTCTGCAGATTCTCCAGATTACCTCCTACAGCAGAGGCAGTGCCCTTGATTTAGGCCTCTGACTGGTCTTTGTTTTTTTTCTTGTATTTTATACAAAGAGCTTCACTTTGTGATTCAGCAAAGAGGTCAAAAACAAACTGTGAGCACATGGCTTTCACTTCCCTCACCTTTAATGTACTCACTAAAAACTACTACTTCTTATCAATCTTTTCAACTTCAACTTTCAACTTTATTTCATTTATATGGCACTTTTCCTACAAAGCTGTAACACAAAGTGCCTTACAAAACATAAAAAGAAAATGAAACATTAAAATCTCCAAGAAAACCCCAAACCTCCCACCCGCACAATTATACCCACACACACACCCGTGAACATAGACATACATTTCCAGACACACAACTTCACATACACACGCACCTACACAGTTAGCAGCTGATGGTGAGGAGACATGACTGGGCACTGAGATCTGAGGTGAGGTAGACGCTACCTTTGGGGGCCACGTCGACCACGTTCTTCTTTTTTAATTCTGTATGTTGATTTGCCCTCCTTTTTTTTGTGCTTCATTTAATCGACCTGTATCTGCCTTTTTCTAGGCGGTCTTACAGAGTGTGGCAGCGAACTCCTCCCAGAAGGTTTTGTCATTCACCACCACCACTCTGGAGGACATCCTTAAGTCTTTTTCTGACGTCAGCGTCATCCGTGTGGCCAGTGGATACCTGCTGATGGTGAGAACCGAGACCAGATATAAAACTTAGTTGAATGTTTTGATCTCACTTTGTTCTTGGAAAATGCATTTTTAAACAGTTCTTAATGGCTAATAAAAAACAGAAATGTTATGCCTATCAAGATTGATTTACATATGCAGTAGGTTGGTTAATAAATGGACATATTTGTTTTTGCTGTGTGTGTCCAGCTGGCCTATGCATGTCTCACCATGCTGCGGTGGGACTGTGCCAAGTCTCAGGGGGCTGTGGGGCTGGCGGGTGTCCTGCTGGTGACGCTCTCTGTGGCTGCTGGTCTGGGCCTCTGCTCTCTACTGGGCATCTCCTTCAATGCTGCCACCACACAGGTACCTCACGCACACACACACACACACACACACACCACTGAACAGCCAATCAGGACTTTTTTTTATTGGGTCGGATCAAGATGGGCTGATAAACACTGTATATTTAAAAGACAATTTAGGATAAGACTGTATGTTACAAGTTTCCCACTGAGCAGAAGACGGCTCTTAAACATCCAGTTTTTTTTAGACCTAATTTCAACCGTCTAGTTTCTGAATATTTTTAGACAGAATTTAGACGTTGCACTTTAACCCATTATTCGATAAGTATTGATTTCAAAAAGCAACTGTGAGTTGCACAACTGATCTCCAAGTACTTAACCAAAATAATTATGATAGCCTTTATATCTTTACTACAGTGTAGTGCAGATACAGCTCAGATTTAGATTTAGTCTAAACCTGGTCCAAATTTAGACATCTATAAAACTTCTACATTTTTAGACCTGTGGTAGCCTGATTTTAGACCAGTCATCTAGGCTACATTTAGACATCTATTAGACCAAAAAATGCTCAGTGGGTTATTTTATTCATGCAAACAAAGACTCAATTCATGAATCTGCTTTTTTTCCTCAAAATTTTAGGTTGTTTTTTTTAAACACTTTATTCCTGAGAAACATAAGAAACACATTTAGATCTTACATTTGTCATTTTTACCTTTGACATCCACTGAATGTGCAGTTAAACTAAGTATTGACACATGTGACGCCTTGCACTTTCTATCACAAATAAAATCAAAATGAGTTTCATGAAGGAGAAGAAAACTGCAAACCAAACCATTACATGCTTAACATCCAAACTTCTAAATAGGTTGTACTCGCTGCACTGGTTGAATAGGTGTGTTTTCAACAGGTGCTTCCTTTCTTGGCTCTGGGAGTTGGAGTGGATGACGTCTTCCTCCTGGCTCATGCCTTCAGTGAGACTGGACAGAACAAGAGGATCCCGTTCGAGGTGAGGCGAACATCCCTGATCGTGCTGTTCTTTCTCCTCTGCCCTCTTATCTGCTTCATGGAGGAATGTGTGAAAGCCTGTCTGTGCCTGTGAGGTAGCATCAAACAAGCTGTGTGCCACACACTCAGCACGCTTATCTAAGCCGCTCTCCGTATTAAACTTATTTCTCTTGGAAAAACAGCAGCTTTTGAGACTATCCCGTCATGTATATGAAGTATTTTTCATTTGTCTTGCTTTATTTTTTTATGGATTTGATTATTTTTAGTCAGAATTAAGTTAGAGAGTTACTTGATTGCAAGACCCTATGATTTATTTTCCCTTTCGAAAGTAGCTTGAGACGCAGAATTCAACACAAATTCAATCAACAACTTGAAACTAAAATCTAGAAAAGTTCAGATAAAGTAAATGTTTCTTCAACCTCTCATGGGTTTGTATGTGTGTGTGTTTTTGTGAGTGGGATAACTTTTCACCTCCAGACGGGGAAAACACAGGCATGTATTTGCTTGTTGTTGTTTTCCCCCCCTGCTCCCCTCCTCTTGTCTCTATGTCTATGCCTCCCTTATCCCCCAGCTTCCTTTGTGTGGCTGAGATGAAAACTAAACAGAGCTGAACCTGATCTCTCCTGTCCAACACACACGCACGCACACAGACGCACACACTCGGAGATGCACACGCCTGCAAACACTCCCTGTGTGGTCCTGCACGTCCTCGAATGTTCTCACAAGTGCCGCCAAACCTCCGAGCAATGTGTGCATGCTTATCTGTGCTCTGCAGTCATAATTTCACCGAAAAGGCATTTATTTTGAAGGGCATGGCGTCATTATTTCTTTATTTCTTTCTACTTTTACCCTCAATGTTTGCACAGAAAGTAGACAGGTGCAGCTGGATTATCCGAGAGCACTTCAGCGCTTCAAGAAACATTGCAATCAGTGTCACTCATATTGGTATTAGGATAATTGTACATCATTTCAAGTATTACATGTTTGCCTTACGGCTAAAGTCTGATCAAAAGGGTCGAGTTTCACAGCTTTTCTTTTCATCTCTCTCTCTCTCTCTCTGTTTTTTCTCTCTCTCTGTCAGGACCGTACAGGCGAGTGTCTGAAGAGAACAGGGGCCAGCGTGGCTCTTACCTCCATCAGCAACGTCACAGCATTCTTCATGGCAGCCCTCATCCCCATCCCAGCACTCAGAGCCTTTTCTCTACAGGTACGCCCAGTAGAAAGAGAGGAGTGTATGTATGTGTGTAAGTGTGTGTGTGTGTGTGTGTAAGTGTGTGTGTGAGGGAGCTCAATCGTGTGGGGCCTCTCTTCCTTAGTAATGGTCCTCTTCCACTCCTCATTGGCTCCAGATTTCTCCCGACTGTTGTTTTATTGATTTCATTCATCAAACTGAAAGTGTGTGTGATTTTGTGTGTGTGTGTGTGTTAGGAGCAGTGTGTGTTTTGTTAAATCCATCCAGCCCTCTCCCTCTCCCTCCCTCCCTCCCTCCCTCTTTGAGGCTGTTTAGTGGTGGGCCCGGTGTCTGTCCAGATTGTGGCCGAGGTCTATGTAACTGAATCCCTCTGCATGTGTATGTGTGCTTGTGTTTGTGTGTGTGTGTGTGTGTGTGCCTATGTGTGTATACGAGCATAGAAAGTTGCAGTATCTGTGTGGGAGGTTTAAAAAGCAATGGTCTAGCTGTTTGCGTGCGTGTGTCTGAATCTCTGTGTGTATGCTTGTGTCTGAATGGGTGTGTGTGTGTGTGTGTGTGTGTGTGTGTGTGTGTGTGTGTGTGTTAAGGTTGGGGGATCTAGAGGGGAGCTCTGACTTCTCTAACATCTGTCAGTAATTATAGACGTCACCAGAACAGTGAAAACTGGGACAGAAAGAGACGTCTGTCAGTCGCACAAAAAGCCTCCAATGAGCATGGGATTGTTAATCAGAGAGGTCCTTGCTCAATCAGAGTGAAGAAAAACTGTGTTCAGGGGAGAAGGAGTTATCAGATAAAACCAGCTGAATAAGACATAAATATAAGATACAAGTATTTTGTCTGAAGTGTGATTGGTTAGTACTGTTTACTCAATTTAAACTCTACTTTTATTATTTCTTGAGCATAAATTTACAAACCACACCTTTATAACTTCATGTGGTACAAGTTAGAATACTGTTCTCACTGTACTGACACCCAAATGTCTGTAGTAGAACATATATGCAACTCATATCATAAGTGACTTTTGGATGGTGACTATAATTGATTTTACTTTTGGTATGGCTACTATAAAAGCGTAGACTTATTTTATGTAACCAACTAACGCTCCCTTACATATATTTATTGCTAACAAACAAATTTTCTAACTCACCACAGGTATTATCAGAAAAAAAAAACACACTCTGGGTCGCAGCTTTAACTTGGCACAGACGCAAATTTACTACAGCTGCACGTTTTTGTTATCCTCGCAAAGGTCTGCTGCGTCTCTGAGCAACTCTCGGACGAATATGTGTTCAGTAGCATCAGAATTTTATATTCTACTAAAAATAACTGGGGTTACGATGGCTTAAACGACCCCTGACAGAAAGTGTGGGGGGTAAGTGTAGGGATATGTCTGCAAAGATGTCATTAGCAGGTGAAATCTTGGAAAAGGGTTGTCCACAAAGCGATTTTATAAGGATTTGATCGTCACTTGTCGAATTTGTGTGGCTCTAAATCTTTGTTCTGATAACGTTTTTGTGTCGTTTGTGTACCACTGCCAACTGACAAAGTACATTTAGGACAAGAGTTACAAACCCAATAATGACTTACCCAAGTGTGTCAGTATTTGCAGCGAATTAAAGGCTAGAAAGTTCTGTGTTGACTAGTGTAGTAGGAACCTCCTTTCTCTTACGTGGTCTCTCTTTGGCTCTCTCTCTCTCACACACGCACACACACAGACACACACACACACACACACACAGTAAGGTAAGATGTCGCCATATTGAGTACAATATTAGCATGTGTGGATGGATGGCTTTAGTACAGCGAGTCTGTCAAACATGATCCATTTACCCCATGGGTCTAATCCATGCAGCCTCGTTTTATACACACACATACACACACTTTGAGACTGACACACATAAATGCAGAAAACACACACATGCGCGCATAGCATGCATACTTTATACTTGTGGTTTTGTGACTGGTGGAGGGCAGACTCTCAGTGCGGCAGACATTCATGCTGATACCCATCTTTTATTATGGAACACACACACACACACACACAACCGCAGTGGGTGTTACTCATGCATGCAGAGATGTGTGTTAGTACGTAAGTGTGAGTCTCTTTATCAACATTAAGTGCTTCCTGTGAATGACCCCTCCTTGGATTCATCTCTCCCTCTCTCTCTTGCTCTCTTTTTTTCCTCATTTACTTCCTTCCATCAGTTTGAACCGAAAGAAAATAGGAATGCATCCAGATAACAACACAGGAACACACACATTCATGCGCCGAGGACAGATGTGATGATAAATCTTCCCACTCTGGGGTCAACTAGCGGTCGCTCTGTGTGTCTGTGTGAGTGTGAAGTCTCGGTGTATCTGTCTGAATCTTACTGAGCCAATTGAGAATTAATTGTTCTCTACATTCAGAAGTTTCTTCTTTTAACTTTTGTCTCTTTTCCTCTGTTATTGACTGACTGGTGTGCTGAGGAATGAGGGAGGGCGAGGATGTGCGAGTCTGTGTGTGTGTGTGCGTCTGGTTGGTGTTAAGGTGTGGTTTAAGTAGAAGGTTGTACAGGTTTTTAAGTTGCCAGAAGATACATGTGTGTATGTGCATATTTTCTGGTGTGTAAGGGGTGTGTGTTGTCTGTACAGCCGCAGCGCCTGCTCATCACCTCAGGCCCCGTGGGCCTCTAGCTCCTTGGGTGGTCTGGCACACACATGAGATTGTGCGTTTGTGTGTGGCTGTGTGTGCGTATATGCAAGAGTGTGTAGTGGTCTGGCAACTACGCAAGATCCAGATTGTACTCTGGGCAGGGCCCCAACCTAACCCCAACCCCCACCCTCTGCTCCAGTGCACCACCTTCAAATACTTAACCACAACGCTGTACTGGCTTCTATTACACACACACACACACACACACATATCTGTTACTTTCTGTCTGCACACTTAGTGTTTTGGATGTGGAAGAAATTGAAAAAGTGTTGAAAAGTTTTTGTATCTTGATGAAGGCTTTTAAATCGCTGTTATTTTAAGATATGCCGTAGACCTCCCAGTGTTCCCGGGACCAGAGAACATCCCCACAGTCATTGCATTTAGTTCCTTTTTTGCAGGTCTTCTCCTAAAATGTTTCCACAACATTTTGTACTTTTTCATTTACAGTTTCATCATGTATTCGGCTGGCTCAAAAAAAGTCAAAATCCATTTTCTTTAAGAGAAAAAAAAGGTTTTCCCGTATATAAGATCTTTTTCATCATGTTTCTGTCAGGCTGCAGTGGTGGTGGTGTTCAACTTTGCCATGGTGCTGCTCATCTTCCCCGCCATCCTCAGCATGGACCTCTACAGACGAGAAGACAGGCGGTTTGACATTTTCTGCTGTTTCTACAGGTGTGCGCACACACACGCAGACATCACACACAGACATGACTTTATTTCCGATGAAAGTGCTCACTTCTTTTTTGACTCTTCCTTTCATGTTTCCCTCTGATGTCTGATCTGACGATGAAAAACTCTGACACACAGTTATCTCAAAGGCATCTTCACTCTAATCCCCCCTCAGTCAAAACCTAATTACTGATTACACTCAGACTGGCTGCTTGTTATGTTTTTGACTGTTTCGTCTGTTTATCTGTGACAGTCTTTATTAAAGTCTGCCAGTCTGTCTGCTGGTCTGGGCATGCTTTTTGGCACAGCCATCATGCAGATGTTCATATACACTATTAAATTCCCTTGTCATGCCTCAGCTCCATATTTCATGCATTTTGCAGAGAGATGGAAAAAAACACACAAACACAGAACAGACAAAGAAAACTGATTTAATACAGATTCCAGAAGAATTTCTACCTTTTTATGCAGAGATTTTTGTCAAATTTTATAACCATGACAGTTTCAGTGTCAGTGATAAATACCTAGTTGTCTAACTCTGCCCTCCCTGTGTTTATCTCTTCAGTCCATGTGCCAATCGCGTCATCCAGATCGAGCCCCATGCCTACCTGGATGGCGTGGACGGCAGCCGCTACAGCCCTCCCCCTTCTTACCGCACTCCCCCTCCTTCATATCGCACACCTCCCCCCAGCTACAGCAGCCCCCCTCCCTCATACAGCAGCCACGGCTTTGCCCAGCAGACCCAAATCACCATGCAGTCCACAGTGCAGCTCAGGACCGAGTATGACCCCCGCACTCAGGCCTTCTACACCACAGCCGAGCCGCGATCCCAGATCTCCGTGCAGCCCATCAACCCTGCCCCCGCTAGGAGTAACCCTAACAACGACTACTACAGCAGCAACGCAGGTGGCAGCAGGAGCAGCAGCAGCAGCAACAACGGCAATCTCAATAACAACAACAGTGGGAGTAGAGGCAATGGGGGGTCTCGAAGTTCGGACGCTTTCTCCCATCATAATCCCGCACCTCCCCCTGCTGCCCCAAGTGCTAGCTCAGCTCCTCAGGGTGACACAGCTTCATCTACTGGACAAATCCCAGAGAATAACAGCTCCACACGGGACCTTTTGTCCCAGTTTGGGGAAGGATCACAGGGCCTGCGCTGCCTTGAGCCTCCCTGTTCACGCTGGACTCTAGCTTCTTTCGCTGAGAGACATTATGCTCCATTCCTGCTACAACCCACCACCAAGGTGAGTTTGGCACAACAGAGATATCCCTGAACATACATTTGCAGATAATTGAAGCACCTTTCACTTATAGTGGGAGATAGTCCATCTTGTTTTGATTACTTACAAGTGCATGCAGGAGGAAGAGAAGAAGGAGGAGTTACGTCTAGGAATGGTGATTGTTACTGAGTTGATGTCACTACAACAAATATGGGGGATCTTTCCTGCTGCAAAAACACAACATACTTACAGCTGAAGTATCAGATAGCCCATCTCTGTTCACACATCAGCTCACCCTGGCTTTAGGAGGCTGTGTCCCTGTTTTTGTTCGCTCGTGTAGCCTACTCGAATGAAGTCAGGTGTTATGTGCTTGTGTGTGCTGAGTCACCGGGGTGATAATTTGAAAGCGAAGGGTTAGTCACCAAAGTGAACAGTAGTAGAAGGAAAATCTGGGTTGGAGGTTGTGGTCGTGTCTTATCTGAGTCACACAGACACACACACAGTCTGACCTCAGTCTACTGGGTGGCCTGTCTTCCAATAAAATCTCTGAAATCATCTTGTGGCATGTACTTGATATCATCAGGAACTCTTTTTACACACTGTCAAATGTTGCTCCAAAACACCAGATTGCCTCATGTTCTTCATTGATGCCTTAATCCAATGCATGCCTAATGACTAACAGTGAAATCCTGGTTTATAACAACCTGCGTCTCATGGTCTTAATTTCGTTCTATTCCTCAAATTTGCAACAACAAAAGTCCGATGTTAAAGTTACATAAGAGTTAAGTCATGAGGCTGTTTGTGTTTCTAGTCACAGTTTCAGGTATATTTTAGGGCAGCAGGAAATCATGTTTTGATACAGAATCTAGTCTTTAACCAGTGCATCTATGAGTGGAGGACATCTGCTCTACCAACAGAGCTAAACCGACGCTCCCTGTTTGGCAGTAATCAGTGCTGGCTGGAACTTCTCTGCTGTCTCTATGTGCAGTGAATTGATTGATGAATTCCTATCTCTGCTCTCCAGGTGGTTGTGATTGTGCTCTTCCTCTGCCTGCTGGGAGTCAGTTTATACGGGACCACCCAGGTGAGGGATGGTCTAGAGTTGACGGACATTGTGCCCAGAGAAACCAGTGAGTACGACTTCATCGGCGCCCAGTTTAAGTTCTTCTCCTTCTACAACATGTACGTGGTGACACAGAGGGCAGATTACGCCCAGAACCAACCTCTGCTGCACCAGCTCCACCAGAGATTCAACACTGTGCGCTACGTGCTGAAGGAGGACAACGGACAGCTGCCCCGCATGTGGCTGGACTACTTCAGGGAGTGGCTTCAGGGTAAAATCAAACCCCATCTATAATCAATCACTCAGACCAGACTTAAACATGTCTGGGTCGTTTTTCATTTACAATAAAAAGGGTTCAGAGTCAGTGTGAGATCCCTGAATGTTGTCCTTATGCTGTCATAAATAATGTTGATATTCATTCTTCAACATCTTAAATAGTTAAAGCATGGAATTAATTTACTTTTTATAAAATACTTTAGGGATTATATTTTTCTTGAACGTTTTGACATGAATTTGGGGAAACAAGACATTTGGCAGGTGTTCAGAATAGTACTTTTCAAAATGTCCGTCAACAGTAGTCTGATTAAAATCACTTGTGCATGAGAAAAGGAAGGAGGATGATGAAGGAGGACAAAGTGGTCATCCCAGTCAGATAGGTTTTGTACAGTATGCTTGAACCCTTGGCAGAAGGTGATTATGTTTTCATTGCCAAATTTCCAGATTTGTACTTTTTTTAAAACACAACTGGAAAATCTGTAATATTTAGCTCATAAAAAGCCCAGCCCCAGCCCTTAAATCACGCTACTTTTAGTTCTATTCAATTTTAGTAGCAGGATTCACTCTGAGATGCGTAGTCATTTGCACAACCAGCAATGACAGCTAACAAGATTTATGATATGCTAATAATTCAATAAAAACAGGGTCATTTTCAGTGAGAAAAGCACACACGCTTATATGCCTTTAATGATAAAAGACAGTGTTTGAGCAGTCTGGGAACCACACAGAGAGGGTGTGCGTGTGCGAGTGAGAGAGGGAGGGAGAAAACTGTGTCTGATATTGCTCTTTGCAATGGTGGGACAAATTGGAGCCAGACAGGCCAAGGAACGAGACCCAAAACAACATCTCCCACAGACGGACCACAGCGTGGGCCATGGGGGGGAGCTGAGGAGGGGGGGAGCATGATTCACATATGGATTAGAGAGTTGTATAGAAAAAGGAGACACATGTTACTGATATATTCCCTAATGATCACTTAGGATGAAAAGCAGCAGATTTTTCCTGCGTTTGAAGTCTTGTTTGGAGGTTGAAAATGTAAAAGAGTTATGCTGTTAAATCAGTCAGGCTTATTACAAGGTTAGGTTAAGGTTGCAGTTTTGCACAGTGCTGTCTTTTACTGCTGTATTGTTCGGTGTTGTTTTTACTTGTAAACAAAACCTCTTTAAGTGAGATGTGGAGGAAGAATGAAGATAACAGGGCATGAAACCTTTAAAAGTACTCACATCCAACTAATCTTTCTTGTTGTGGTTTCCTGCAGGTCTCCAGCAGGCGTTCGACAAAGACTGGGAGGCCGGCCGCATCACCCTTAACAGCTATCGGAACGGCTCCGATGACGGCGTCTTGGCGTACAAACTTTTGGTGCAGACAGGACGCAGAGAAAAGCCCATTAACTTCAACCTGGTATGTTTTTCAGGAATGAAGCCGACCTGGGCTTCATTAAAGACTGTCTTTATTTATTTGTCTTTATTTCTCAATTTCTCCCAGTTACCGTCTTCATCTTTTCCCTGTGATGACTTTACCGAGCCCAGGAATTTAAAGCTCTCACTGGGGCTGCACACAACCTCTGAAAAACCTATTAACTCTTCATTTAAAACATTTGTCCCACTTGGTTAGTCTGCTTGTGTGTGATGTGTATGAATGCTGAACTCGGAGACAAAGATGTCTCCCCCTTAGCCTTTCAGTTTGGCTCTCTGTCACTAATTCGTGACACTGTTTGATGAATGAAACCGCAAAACTGAACCAAAGTCACATTAATAGACAGATATGACTCAATGTTTTGACACTTAATCACATTAACTAATGATGAATTAAACTTCTAATTTGTGTTGGCAAAACAAAAAAAGTCAAGTGGAGCTGATGACATTGCACCTCTGAAGTAAAATGAGTACACAAAGTAGATATCTGAGTCTCATTTGGAACAGGTCTTGCATTCGTTGTTTATCTGAAGGCGTGTTTGACATCCTGAATATGACACTAGCAAATCTGTTAAGGTCTAAAAAGTAGGTCCAGGAACAAAAAAGATAAAATCGAGTTTTTCTGCAGAAATATGCAGGTTTGTGTTGAGTACGTGTGCCCAGCTTTAATAAGGCATTCCTCTTTTTTTTTTCTTACTACCCTCCATAAAAAAACAACAATCTAAATGCATAGTTGTACATTTTGGCAGGAAAAGCAAAAACAGAAGATAAGAGACTGGAGAAATATAAAAACAAAATTCCAGGCTAGAATTTCTGTAAACCAAAAACACTACAGTGATTATTTTTCCTGAGATAATTAACTTTGACAGCGTCGCTAAATCTTTGTTTATTCAGTCTTCAAGAAGTACACGTATGTAAAACTTCCTTTTTTTCTTGAAGCCGTTACATTCCCATCAAAACCTCATACCACTCTGCCTATCCTCTCAACTAGCTCGCAGGAAGCAGAGGTAAGCCTGGTGTGCGGCCTCATGACATCACTTCCTGTGCCTGTGAGGGAAGTGTATTTGCCGTGAGGCGTGGGGGCCGCCAGCAGAGCTGCCTGGGCTTCCCGTGACAGCTTGAAGACATACAGTTGTTGCGTATCCCGCTGTTAAATTCAATCCAGATCCTCTGGAATCCGGCTCTCTTTCTTGCCCCCTCTCTCATGCTCACACTACCACTCTGGCTCTCTCTCTCTCTCTCTCACTCTCGCTCTCTCTCTCTGTCTCCTCCTACCTCTCCCTTCCCTCCCTCTGTGCTCCACTGCTGTGTCCCCTTTCAATGAGGGGAGCTCAAACACGTGGTTTCTTTGAGGCTGCTCTGTGTGGTGTGTGCATTTGTATGTTTTGAGTGTGTGTTCTGCATTTGTCTGTTGTGCGTGCATTTCTAGCAGTAGCTGTTTTTTTTTTTGTGTGCCTCAAAATGAGGACCAGATCTTTTTCCAACCCTGGCAAATTGCAGAGCTAGATGTTTTATTTTGATATGCCACTTCATGGATCTGTGCAGAGGTGTGCTGCCTTTGATCTGTTGCTGTTAACATTTCTCTCCGTGCAGGGCGACCATTCGTTCCTTATGGGCTGCCAGGGAGTCATATGGAAGCTGGCTATCTGTGTGTGTGTGTGTGTGTGTGTGTGTGTGTGTGTGTGTGTGTGTGTGTGTGTGTGTGTGTGTTTGTTATATGTGTGTGTTTAGTGGTTGAAAACGGCTGAAAAGAAAGATTAAGCTTTGGAGAGCTGTGAGAAGTTGGAGGACGACTGTTGGAAAGTGCGATGGAGGGTCATGCTTATTCTATCAAGGGCTCTTTTCTGATGAGGGGCAGGGTCAGCTTGTGGCGCCAGGCATTCTCGGTACCCATAGGGGTCAGGAGAAGCAAGTGTGAGCAACATTTGTACAGATGTTGTGTTATTTTTATAGCTCTACTCCATTTGCTGGGTGGCATTTCCTTCAGTGTTAACAACCAGGTTAACTGCACACAGACGCGCTGAGGGACTCCAGCCAATTTTTTTATTGTTACGCTAACTCAAGCAATTTTTTTTCTCCCCAACCCCCCATCACAAAAACCCCCCTTAACCTTTTCTTCATCCACCTAACCCCTTGAGTCCAGCTTCACCTCCAAAACTCTCCCAGCCTCCATGAAGGAGGGATTTATGGTTCCTAGAAGGGAAACTGGCAGAGGGGTGCGCCATAATGGTTTTACCCCTCTGGAGGTAGCATTGCTGGGCTACACTCCTCTGTTTCCACATGGAAGGAAATTGGTCATATTTGGATATTTGGTCATGAAGTGGAAAATTAGCAAACTAAGATTTTGATCCGATAGTGGATTTAGTTTGCAAGAGGTGAAACAATCATCGAAGATATGACAGACCAACCTACCGGCTGGCCACTGTCATCCCTGTTGATGTTCAGCTTTCCTGGCTAATAAAATCCCAAAGTTTTACCATTTACTGATTTATTTTCACAGCTTTCAAATAAAGTTAAGAAAACATCTCAAAGCATAAGCCAATAAGTAACAGAAAATTCCCCAAACTGACAGATTGTCTCATACAAAAATGATCAGTAGGTGTATTTTAACGTCTCCCATTATGAGCATTAAGAGGGCTCAGCTCAGATCCACAGCAGCTGCTTCTGGACACAGAATAGCAGTGGGTATTCAGGTCGGTCAGGACTTTGGGCTTGAGGTTGGCCAGCCAGTATCTGCTGTATGTAAAGGGAGACGCTGATTCATCATTCTCCATGTTTTAATGTGGCATGATGATTCTGGGAAGCTACAAAGAGAAGTAACGGGAATTTACAGAAAGACGACCAGTGTTTTACTTGTTGATTTTCCTTTGGTCGGAAAGAGAGAGAGGGACTGCTAATATTTGACTCTTATTTTAAAAGCTGCTCCGTTCTCATGCACTCATGCATGTGTATAAATAAGCATGTCTGTGGTTAGCTCACCTGTAGAATGTTTTAGTTAAACACGTCCCATTTCCACAATATCTTTTTAGAGTCCAAAATATACTGAACAGCCACATTATGGTTTCCTCTGCAAGCTCCAACTGATTTTTTGAGCTTCATTACCATTTTTCCGTTTGCTAATTATTCCATTTTCAAATTTTGAATTTTGCTCAGCCGCATAAAAATGTGTCTCTCCTTTTCATTCCCTTTTTTTCGTGTATTTGTTTGAAGATTATGTTTTAATGGAAAAGAACAGAAAGGAACATTACTTGTTTGAATGATCTATAATGGCTCCATTATTAACTCGTCTCTCTTCTTTACTCTGTAGCTCACTCGCCAGAGGCTTGTGGACGCAGATGGAATCATCAACCCCGGTGCTTTCTACATCTACTTAACCGCCTGGGTCAGCAATGATCCTGTGGCCTACGCCGCCTCACAGGCCAACATCCGCCCACACCCTCCTGAGTGGCTTCATGACCGGACCGACTCCATGCCCGAGACACGCCTCAGCAGTAAGTCAGCGTGCTGTACTTCCAAAAGGAACACTTAAATTAAAAGACACATGTTTCAGAGTGCAATGGGAGGAAGTTTGGACTTGAGACAGAGTAGGAAATCTAAACTATCATGTTGTTTGTTCCAAAAAGTGAAGCTAATTCATAGTTTGTTGAAGTTTATACCTGTTACGTGTTCCACATTTGAACAAATTACATTTACTTACTGAAGTTTCTGCTGAAATCTTTAGCCGGAATTTTGCGGGGCTCGCTGGCTCGGGCTTCCATAAGGCAGCTGCTACATGTGAGCAGTGTTTACCTCTTGTGGTTTGAGTTATTGCTCCTTGTCTGCCTCTTAGCTTTAAGTGAGGTTGTAGACTTTACTGTACCACAGTGGTGTGCGCATGTTTGTGTGTGTGTGTGTGTGTGTGTGAGCTCAGGTTGCAAGGCTGATGACCAAGACACAGCTCACTGTGGTTCTCCTAATGGTGCCTGTGGTGAATGCTATAATCCTGGCTACCATGGGGCCTAGTAATACACACATATGTACACACACACTCACATTATTAAAATCCACTGACCCCAAACACTACACACACCCTGTTCTCATTTCCCCACCACACACACAGACTGTAACTCACATAAAAAAGTACAGTCATCTTGTTGTTCGATTCCGGCCTGTGATTTGGTACAAGTCAGGAAGTGCTCCACAGGGGAGGAAAATGATTGGATAACGAGAGGAGACTGGGGTTGGATAGGAAGCACAATTGGATAACAAGCAGGAAGTCCTTTTGGGGGCGGGGGGGTATGATTGGATAAGCAGCGTGAAGCACTTGGCTGTGTGGGAGCCCCCCAGAGCAGATCTGTGTTGGCTGGGAGCCAAGTTGTGTTCTTATGGAAATTTATAGTAGAGATTATAATGAGCCAAACCATGTTAGCAAGTGCTCCTGTCTGACCCTGCAAGGACGGTGTAAATACACACTCTTACACCATGACAAGAAAGACCAAAAGCTTGCATTGATTTGATTGAAAAACTTCAATTCGCTTCGGTAATGTGCAGGTAAATACACTGCAAACAAGAAATCTCAATGAGAACTGTGTTTTGACAGCACCAAATATGACTTCATAACACCGTGACAGGCAGGTATGCATGTTTATGAATCTATATTATGCTTTATGTGGCAGTTGCTAAGTTTAGGGTGTGGTAATGGCAGTGATTCTGACATTGTAATTACCATGAATCAACGTTAGCCCTGACACTCTGCTGAGTCTGGAACTGATAGGCCCTCATTAGGCAGGCTGGGCCACAGACTGGCTGGGCCGGAGTCAATGGAGCTCTGTTTCACACTGCTCCGCTCAACCCTACCACACACACACACACACGCAGACACTCACTCACACGCGCACACGCAGACACTCATGCACGCTCGGCCACAGATGTAGCTGCTCTTGGAACAAAGTTGGATTAGGGAGGTGAAGCTTTGATATGGGTGGTTTGGCTGAAGTGGTTAAAATGACTTCTGCAGATACACTAAATGATCAGAACCTAATGTTAGTTAATAAGAACAGACAAATATCATCTGCAGATGTCATTGTTGCCTTTGTTGATTTTTCTTATGAACTCTATAATGCTCCTCATGATCAGTTCCAATGAGTTGAAGATGTGTCTTCTTGTGTTTCCAAAGCCTCAAGCGCAAAACATCCACCTACCTCAGCATGTTCTCCATAAAAAACAAAGTGGCTATTACAGTTAAATCAAAACAAGTTTTATCCCGTTTTCAATTCTTGACCATCTCTTATTGTCTCTTCTTCCAGTCCCAGCAGCTGAGCCCATCGAATACGCACAGTTCCCCTTCTACCTCAACGGGCTCCGGGAGACGCCGCAGTTTGTGGAGGCCATCGAGAGTGTGCGGGCAATCTGCAGCAACTACAGTCGACACGGCTTGCCCTCCTACCCCAACGGCTACCCTTTCCTTTTTTGGGAGCAGTATGTCAGTCTGCGCCACTGGCTCTTGTTGTCCATCAGTGTTGTGCTGGCTTGCACCTTCCTTGTCTGTGCCCTCTTCCTGCTTAACCCATGGACTGCAGGCATCATTGTGAGTATTAGACAGGAGGACAAGCTCAATGTTACACATATATGGTGGAGAGAGTCTGGAGAAAGAGAAAGATATCCATTAAATAAATCACAGTCTCCACCTAGTTTTAATATGCATTATATAAGGGCAGTCCCTCTCTGAAGCAGAGCGAGGCAGAAACAGCAGCATGCGGTTTGGTTTTTAGTCTCCTCCTTCTTGTCTTGGTTTCTATGTGTGGTCCAAAAGGCATTTCAGAGAAGAGGGACTCAGAAAAGAGAGGGGGCTGCTGTGTGTTATTGTAGCCCCAGTCACCACTGTTTATCTTATGCTGTTTTGTCAGGCCCAGTCTGTTTAGTCTAGTCCAACACTCCCAGACACCAATGCTGAAATAAATGGGGAGAGGACACAAAGTTGCCTGGGCAACTTGCTTCCACTCTAAACCTATAAAAACTTTGATTTTATTTCCATCTCCCACACTTCTCTTCTCTCGCTTCTCTCACCAAGTCCAAGGACACGCACATTAACGCAAACAGGGGAACACACAGACTCACACTTTGAGAAGATACGTATATGCTTGCGCACATGCAATATGAATATGTAAACACACAGGTACATAATTCACGCAGAGACTCATACACAAAGTGCTCTGGTTTTTCTCTCTGGTGGGTTGTATTTTACGACAGGCAGTGGCCAGGCCACCAGAGCCCTTAAACAGAGGGGGAGGGGATTCCGTGTGCATCCTCCAGGCTTTACTAGCAAGATCAAAAGACAAGTTATGGAGAGGCGTCAAGTTTAACCATTTGTTCTGTCCGGGACCAGACCACCGCCAGCCCTAAAATGTCAAACCTTCAACCCTAACCCTCTCAGACCCTCTCAGTTATTTGCACTGAAATCCATCTTAACCACAAAGACAGACGGAGGCCGATTTAAACCTCATGTCTTGTGTTTGGAGTCTGTAAGATGTTTCAGATCAACTAGCTATTTGCTGTTGTTAAGAGAGTGGTCACTTGTAATATGTTTATTGGCTGCAGTACTCTTAGTTGGTATAAAGTTTGGTCTGCAGGGGAAAACACTTCACATTAAAACTAAAATTAGAGTTCTATGTCACAGGAATTCTCAATAAACTTATTTCAGGAGGAACTTAAGTGAACTAAACTCCTCCTGAAAGCCTGAATGGGATTTGATTTTTTATCAACACAGACGCCTTATTGTGATCAGATCACCTGAAATGCAGCATGAAGGGTTGGAGGAAGTCAGAAAGACATACCGCACAGCACTCACTACCATCCCTCTTGAACACATGCACATACTCTGTACATTGTGTATGAATACATGCAGACAGCCCCCTCCTCTGCCCACCTCGGCCCTCTTCAAAGGATTTGGGCCCCATGTAACCTGACACCTGTCAGCTGATAATGGCATTTACTCCCAGCTCCTGTCCCACTCTGCTCTGAAACTTTCACACTTGTACACCAAGAGACACATCTTTTTAACTGTAATGATTTTTGTCATTGGGTTATGAACAATCATTACAAAGAAAGAAAAACAGAAACTGTTTCTGTATCCGGAATGAAGTATTCTTCAAGCCTGATCCTAACCCTTTCTCTGTCCAGTTCTGAATCACTCCTCCAAGAAGGTTCATCAGCTTTCGTGTGTCTAACAGAGTCAACTCTTTGCTCTGCAGGTGTTGGTGCTCTCTCTGATGACTGTGGAGCTGTTTGGCTTCATGGGGCTTATGGGGATCAAGCTGAGCGCTGTGCCTGTGGTCATTCTCATCGCCTCTGTGGGCATAGGAGTGGAGTTCACCGTCCATGTTGCCCTGGTACGCACATATAACCATTAAACTATTATGAAAATGTTTCCCCATTTGCAGCCCTATGCAAAGTAAATGATTGTGATGTTTTTGGGTGTATTCTAGGCGTTCCTGACAGCCATAGGGGATCGTCATAAGCGGGCGGTGCTGGCTTTGGAGCACATGTTTGCTCCGGTGCTGGATGGAGCCTTTTCTACCTTACTCGGCGTTCTAATGCTCGCTGGCTCTGAGTTCGACTTTATCGTCAGGTGAGCACAAAAATGAATCTCGCCCGTTTGGTTCACTTTGTAGGCACACAGCAAACAGGTTAAGCTATGGTGCCTCTGTGGCTTCAGTGGACCGTTGAGACCATGCCTCAACCTGTATGTCACACAGGAATCTACCTGAGACACCAGCCATGCATGACAGCTCTTTCTCATCTTCCACCTTCATCTCCCTCTCATATTCCTTCTCTGTCAGCTACCAGTGGCACACTGGATTGATATATTTCTTGGGGAAGAAACAGCATAAACAAGAACTTTTCACTGCCTTGGTGTGGCTCTCGCTGGATGTTTTAGGGGAGGGAATTGGAGGAAGGATGGAAAGTTGAAGGTTAGAAGGAGGTAGTAGATGGAGGGTGCAAAGTTAGAGAAAGCAAGGGTGGAAAGAGAGCAGGGAAGTCTACTCCTTTTTTGCTGGTTTAACTGCCCTCACAAGACATTTATAAGCACAGGAAGGAGTAAGGGGTGGCAGGGCAAGAGGGGCAGTCATGGAAGGACAGGAAAAGTGGAAATTAAAGTCGACGTGCTATTGGGGCACTGCGTTGGTGGCTTCTTTTGAATGCGCACACTCTTGTAGTGAGTAGTTGCCATGCGAGGCAGGAAAATTAATGCTTCTGTGCGTTCTGGAGCCTTTAGTCTTATGAGAAGTTTCCAGTGAGCTCAGAGAAATCATTTGAAATGGATGAGGTGGCTGTATGGTTAAGTTGACCTGCTCCTTTAAGAAAAGGGAGCACTGAAGTCCATGTGATCTGCAAACACACACACACACACACTTTGTCATGTGCATAGGTTTGTGCTCATGCATGCACACACACACACACTATCACACAGTCCCCTCCATATACGTACCCATACACACACACACACACACACACACACCATTCTGCACCCTGACCCTGTAATCATGGGGGTCAATGATGGCGTGCCTTCCAGTGAGAGAGCACACAGCTACACACTCAGTGAGACACACTCACAAAGACACACACACACACACACACACACAGGGAGGCCTAAAGACCTTCTCTCCTCACCTCCAGTGGTGTGCTCTGGTTTCTGGCTCAGTCCCGGGCCTCCATTTAAAGGTTCTGCTGTTGTCTGAGCAAACAAAGCTGCAGCCCAAGACGGCGCAATAACAACAGGCCCGGCTCGTATTTTTCTGCTTGCGCTGAAAGAAATGTTTCCCTGACTTTCCCCGTCAGCCCTGTGAATGTTTTCACTCTAAACAGCCCGGCAGGGTACTTTGCCTGGTATGTGGGCTCCACGCGTGCATATGTGCCTATATGTGTGTCCCAGGGTGACGTGGCGTTTACCCCACCTGGTTTGTATTGACATGCTCACCACAGCGATGACACCGTTATTTCAACCCCAGTTACAGAAACAGTTTTTGATAATCTAATAAAAGTAGATAATAGATGAGAGAAGTTTGGATGATAGATGCTCAAGTGTCTGTGTTGCATTTGTGTGTCTGTGTGTATAATGCTTTGGAAAGTGAGGATTACTCATAACAACCTGCAACAGAACTCCCACAGGCTCCTTCTACTGTTTGTCTAGTGTGTGATTTATTCTGTTGATGGTTTTACTAGTTTGTGAATCAGCCATGTACGAGGTCAAACAGAAGACTCTGAGCCTGACTGATATGTCAGTTTGCTGATACTATCAGGCAAATGCAGATACATCAGTGCCAACATATTGGATTCCTAATACCTTCTGGTTTTTAGGTGATATTTTAAAATAAAGTTAATTGTTTAAAAGTGCTTTGAGCACCTTTGCTACATTTGCTATTTGTTATTATTTGTTATTATTTATGTGTTATTGTTACACAAACACATAAAAAAAGTTTATTTTCATTTCGTCAACACCAATCACCATATTTTCTTTTACATTGCAAATCAATCCCTGGTCAGTACTTTTAGTCCGAATCTTAGTGTGATATGAAGAATTTACTGTATGGGTAATACATATACATCCTTTCCACCAGTTTAACTGAAACACATATGAGGGCTGGGCGATAAACCGAAAATTTACCGGTACTGAAATCTACATCAATAACCGACCTCATTTTGCCCATGTCAATATATTCGATGTCAAAAATAAATAAATAAATAAAAGTTGGTTTTGGATGTGTGTAGGTAGTCTCATTAAGACACTTTCCTACATTGGAGATGTGACTCCACCTCATCCAGTCTGTAACAAAGAAGCAAAGACAGGTGAGGAGATGGCGGACGGTTTTAAAGTTGTAGCAGCTAGAGCGGCGGCTGAAGAAGACGTAGTTAATGTGGGAGGAGGTGAGCAGCTTGTGGAGTAGTTATCGTCCATTTATGGTTAACAAGGTGAACTGCTCAATATATTGTGATTTTGATTTGAGCCCATATCGCTCAGCCATAACATATATGTAAAAATTTTGGATTAGTTGCCCTTTGATGCCTCTTTCAAGTGGCATAAAGGGGGTCAGCACATAAAGAAGTACAGCATTTAGGTCACATTAATGTTCCTACAACCTCTCAATGGAAAAAAGAAAAATTCAAACTGTTCTCGCTGTTTCAGGTCGCAGTAGTAAGTAGTAAGTTGTTTTTTCTGTCTTACACTTGGATGTGGTTGTGCTTTAAATCTGTGTCTATCTTAGCTGTTGTGTCAGCTCCCAGCAAATAAGCATGGGGGAAAATATCTGTGGCAGGAAACTTCATGTTTACTGAGAAGAAATAGAATGAGATGAAACATTGTGGGTCATCTTTTTCCTTGAAATCAGTTTGTTGTGTTTTTTATCAGACTGATTAGTGGAAAAGTAGACTTGTGTCCATGCCAGCATCGTAAAAAATTTCATCCCATCTCAGAGATAGACACAGGAGTCAAGTATAACTAGTCAGAGAGAAAGAGAGAGAGATACCACACATCCCTGATTTCCACCTCTTCTCACTTGTGGCTCCTCTGCACAATGACTGCATTCTCTCTCACACACACACACAAACAAACACATATATATTTTGATTTACAAACACACAAGGACTATAAATGCACACTTAATTCATGGCCCAGCTGTGAAACTGCACCTTAGTTATCCCATGTTTAAATTGTCTGTACACATTCACAAACACACACCTGTTTCATCAGTGTGTCTCTGATAACTTGAACGTTTTCACTTGAGAACGAGTGAGGAGGAAAGTCTCCCCTAATAAAAAAAAGCTCGATTGGTGAGAGAAAAAGAGAGAGAGAGAGGCAGGCGGGGGATTTAGAGTTGAGATTGGGGGGTCTTACCTGATACATTTGAGATTTAATTAGACCGAGGGGATTGTGGAGTGACCGGGAATTTCACAGGGGCTTAAGCTGGAAAGAAGGGAGAGAGAATCGAGGCAGAGAAGAGAGAGAGAGAAATAAAAGAGGGAGGGAGAGAAAGAGAGTGACCAGGGGAGGGGTGGTGCTCTGAGGGACCCCTTCTCTTCTTCCTAGACTAAATTGTTTAAATTCTATACCCTACACTTCATTTGTTTGCCTCTCCCTCTCTCCTTTTTAGAGTCAGAGAGGAGAGAGAGGCCCCTGTCCTCTTCTGCCCCCCCAACCCCCTAACGCTCCTCTCAGCCGCCTCTCCTCTCATCCCCCATTTTTTTTTTTTTACCCTCCCTTACCCTCTTCCTCCCCCTTCCTTCACATTCCTTGCTGCTTTGTTTTCTCCATGTTTGCTTATACACCACACACCCAAGAGAGAGTGCCCTCGCTCCCAATAACTCCCCCCCTCCTTGCTTTTTTTTTTTTTTTCTTTCCTCCCGTGCCTTTGAATTAACCAGCTCCGGCTAATTATGCTTCCCCTTTCTTTTCTCTCTGCGGCTCCTTAAAGACTAACTCTCTTTGGCAGGACTTAGAATCACACAAGGTACATTTCTGTTTTGCTCCTTCAAAACCACAGTGCATGCCTGCCTCTCTGTGGGGGGTTTCATATATGTGTGTGAGTGCATGTGTGTGCGTGTGTGTTTGGGGAGTGGCCGGGCGTCTTTGTGGAAGTATTATTTCGGGCATGTGTCATGGTTGATCTTGCACATGTCTCCCCATGTCTAAACCTCTGTGGTTTGCACAGGTATTTTCTTTATTTCTAAATCTGCTCTGTTTCTGTCTGTGGCGGTCACAGCGACTGCTTTTTCATACTTCTGTTTAGTTTTTTTTTTTTTTTTTTGTCTTGGTCATGGAATTTCCATTTTTTGAGGGCAGTCTTGTCTGTGGTTTTCTTAACGATGTTTTGTGTTGTATCACAAAAGAAGCAAGTGGAAAATTATTATTTCAGTATTTAAATAGAGTGTTTTTATCCTTATATGTTACACAGATTTCAATAAGTTTATGTTTACTCCTTATTTCAACCATTTTTTGTGTTTGCATGTGTTGTTTTGCAGGTATTTCTTTGCAGTGTTGGCCATCCTAACAGTTCTTGGAGTACTGAATGGATTGGTCCTTCTTCCAGTATTACTATCATATTTTGGGCCCTATCCAGAGGTGAGATCCCAAAAACCTTAAAGAAATTGAATCAAGTGTGTCTGAGGCTGGCAAATTCACTCTTTTCTCTTTCAACATCTTAGGTGTCCCCGGTTGATGGTCGTAGCCGGTTACCCACCCCATCCCCAGAAGCCCCTCCACCTGTGGTCCGTTTCTCTGTCCGTCCTCACCACACTACAGGGACTGCCACCACCTCTGGTGCAGCTTCAGACTCCTCAGACTCTGAGTACAGCTCCAACACCACAGTGTCCGGTATCAGCCAGGAGCTGCAGCACCACAACCTGCCCTCCTCACACAGAGGACAGACTCGTACAGAGGAGCAGCAATACCACCTCCAGACCAGCAGGGGCAGAGCAGCCAGGACAGAGGAGGAAAGGAGAGCAGGATCAGGGCACAGGCGTTCGGCCAGACAAGCTGAACCGCCAGCCTATAGTTCGGTAAGAAAATATCTTCAGCTCTGTGTTGCAGGTATAATTCTTTAACTGCAGTGCTCTTTCGTTTTTCCTGTATAAATAATAAATGTTGTTTTGTCTGCTCTTTAGACTGTCTCCTCTCAGGGTTGTGATTCTGGGCCCCAGTCCAGGGCTACTCAACGTAACAGCAGCAGGGACCCCAAAAGCCAGCTGCACTGGCAGGCCCCGCCCCCAGCCCGCCCGCGCATGGACGCTTTTGAAACTGCTACTGAGGCTGGGGGCCATCATGGCTCTCACAGCCATAGAGAACACTCAGCAGGCCACAGGGCCCGCTCCACCCACAACCAACAGCCTAATCACCACCTCCCACACCACCACCCTAACCCCACCCCATACTGCCAACCCATCACCACAGTAACAGCGTCAGCCTCTGTCACTGTCGCTGTCCACCCACCCCCTTTGTCCAACCAGAGCCCTCCTGCTTCCTCTTATCCAGGATACACTGCAACAGACAGTTACTGCCCATCAGGGCCAGAGGAGCCGGAGACTGTCTTCCAGGACCCACATGTGCCTCTGGACACCCACACAGGAGTCAGAGGGGTCCAGGTGGAGGCCATGGAGCTTCAGGATTTGGAGTTTGAGGCAGCTGAGAGCAACAGTGGCAGGCGGGTGAGCTGAGGTGAGTTTTCATTAATAAAACTTCGCTAAGACCCTCTAGGATGTAACTGCACTCTTCTGTGGGTCTATTTCATCAAAGTACTGACTACATCTTTTTTTCTTCTTCTTTGTTTGCAGTTGAGGAGAACAAATTACACCGGCCAAAGACCTGGCCTGGCACAGCCCAGCCCAGCACAGCCCAGCCTGGCTCAATCCTGGCAGAGAGAAACTCTCCAGTGTTGCCGTCATGGTGCTCATTCTTACTGTAACCCAGTGGACTATTGTCTTAGATATTTCTATCTATATTTAAAAGATGTATACATATGTAAATATGAACAAAAAGTAGCTATAATTTTAGGAGATGTACAACTCCTCATGTTAACAGACTGGGGCTGCCATTGTATATGGTGTATGTGAGTGAGTGTGTGAGTGTGTTTAAAAGTGTGCAAGTGTTTGTGTGTGTGAGAACCAGAGATAGATCTCTGATTACTGTTCACTCATCTGTGGATCTGTGCCATTAGGAAGCTTCATCTAGACAAACATACCTGTCAGCATTCACTGTTGCTGCTCAAAAATATTTTAAATGATATACATTTAAAATTCTATGCAAATGTCTTTTTATACAAAAGAAGTGATCTGTCTTCATATATATGTGTGTGTGTGTGTGTGTTTGTGTGTGTTTATAATGGTTGAATGTGGTGCTATGTTCTGTGAAACAGCCCCATCATTTTCTGGCTATACATCAGATACATCCTCAGAACAGAATAACATTAACACTCATTTAAAACGTGAGGGGAAGTGTTAGAATTATCAAACAGGGCTAAGGTATATGTTTGTGTGTGTGTCTGTGTGAATGCGTGTTTCTGTATGTGTGTGTGTGTGTTATTGTTTTAAGGTACGCTTGTTAAACTATTAATTTTTTATCACAAACCTGTGGTAGTTATGAAACGATTACTGTTTAACTTGACACGCTATGCGTGCTATTTAAGACGAGCAGAAATGAAGAAATTTTAAAGCTGTTTTTGGTTTTATTTTGTTCTTTTAGTTTGCCTCTGCATTGGAACCAGTTTTTCCTCCCAGCTTTGTATCACTGTCTGTTTGGCTGCTCTCTGGTTGTATTTTACTGTAAGAGGTTATGTACTGTTTACCCTAGCAGGCTCAAAACAGGTTCTGTCTCGTATACTGGCATACAGTCAGTAAACCCACCTCAAAAACTCTCTCTGCCATCACAGGGACTTTCGCATTACTGATTCTGGAACAGGGTCAACACGGGGCACTAACTCTGTACCCGAAGTGGTTGTGTCTAGTGGATAAGCTAAATCTCACACTTTATACTGTAATCTGATTCAACATGGCACTTGACTGCATTTAAACTATACTCACAGGAATATCTCTTCTTCCGTAGCTTTTTTCTGTCCAAACAATAAGCTAGCCCATGCAGCCTGCTAAGGGCTAAGCCCTATATAGCCTGACATTGTGCTCTGTGTGTGTCTCAATTTACACGTGTGTATGAACATTTCTGTGTTTGTGCTGGTCCATCCTCTTACTCTGTCTCAGCTCTCTTCAAATGACCGTGAAGACAACTGGCCCCATTTTGGCCTCAGCCGTCCCCACTGACCTCAGCTAATAAAATCCCCAACAGAACGCCATGACACTAATTGGACACCCCCTCCTTTTTTGAAGTGCCAAATGGCACAGACCTGAGCCTCAGGGGTCAAAGTTTACACTGCCAGCCCCCGTCTATAATCGTAATGGCCAGTTTATGTCTGCATATGTGTCTCAGTCAGCGTGCATACCTGCTAGAAATCCTCAGTCTCAAATCCAGGTCTTAACCCCTCAGACTGTCTCTTTTTCTACGAACAAACTTTTTGTTGAACAGATGTAGCTCTACCCAGAAGTCTTTGCAGTTTTCCATGTCTATGTTCTCAAGTCAGCTGCTTGCATAAAATAGGTTGTTCTGTTTGTTTATTTTTGTTTCTCCCAATGTCACATTGGCAGTAGTGGAGAGAATCATAGCTGGCAACTATTTTATTCATGTTTTTGTTTGTTTTTGTTTCAACTTTCAATTGCGATATTTATATTTTTGTAATATAAAGTATGTTGTTATTTTCTTTCATTATTATCGTGATGCCAGTCGATAACAAATGCAGGGATTTTTATGTCTATTGAAAAAACACTATTACAGTTAAATGTTTTTACATTAATGGAGTTTGATCTGTATAAAGTGCTTACTAATGTTAAATAGGAAAAGAGTATATAACATTTTACACTACAGGTCTCATCATAGCTCTTAGAGGATTTTAAAAGGAAAAAAATCAGTGGTTCTTCCAGACTGCCATTTTGGTCTCGGTTGGTGTGGATGTATGCTGTTTTCAGTTACAAAGATAAATGTATGCCATATAATTTATTTATATGAAAATTTATTTTTGTAGTGTACATAGTAGTTGTCAAGGTATTTGACAGAAGTATATTTTTAAAGAGTTTATATGTAATGATATACCATAACAGAAAAAAAACAAAACCTTAAGGTGCACACTTTCACTGATAACTGTCTTGTGAGACAACATCAACACCTCCCCTTCAGTATTATGTTCCAATCCTTGGAGAGAGACAGCTGTTTCTATGGGTTTGTCAAAGGCTAGCCATGAAAGTAGAAAATTGTACTAGCTCTCTAAATATTAATGTTCAAACACTGATAGAATTCTAACAAATAAAAATATTATAACTTATTTGTCTCGTTGTTCATAACTTTAATAAATGGAAACTTAAAAAAGATGCTTTTGTCTGACCGTGAGTTGATTTCTTTTTGAAAGTTTGGGTGAAAACAAATAGTTTTTGACAGTCTGGGAACTACTACACATGTTCTCCAGTGGAGATACAATACTCCTAAGAGTCTGTTGACAGCCAGGTAGCATGGACAGAAAATTGAGAGCTGGAAAAGCCTTTAAACTTTTTGTTTTAGTTAGCCGGCCTACCAGTAACTCCCAAGTGCGCTCATTAGCATGTAATAACTAACTGATATAACTTTTAAAAAAAAAAGAAGGCTTATGTATTTCTCTTCTTGGCACGCTAATGTTTGGCAGTTTGTCACAGTGATTTTTTGCATTTTTTTAGATAAGCTCTGTAATTTTAAAAAATTCAAACTGCTCATGAAAAAAATTGAGATTAGGAACATCCATGCAGCCATTTTTAATGTATTTATTGGTTTATTATCAGAAAATACCCTCAAATCAAATATGTAGGAGGTGTTACTTTGTCCACAGGGGGCGCTAAATTGGACACAAATAGAGGGTTACTCACAGGAGCTTTAAGTTGAAGCCATGCACCAAAAGTCTCCTGTCCATGCTCGTTGAAGCTGCAGGTAAACACGACCTCCCTTCCCCCACCTCCTCCTCCTCCCTCCTTCCGTCCGTCATGTCCTGCAGTGTAAAACTCTTGACATCTGGTCTGGAGCCCTGCAGCCCTCCCCAACAGCCCACCCAGCTCCACCCCTGCACCCCCCACCTCCACTCCCTGTTCTGTATGATTTTGATTGACAGCTTTATAGACTGCAAGGAAATTGGTTGTAGTTACAATACAGCTGGCCTGTTCGGAGTAATGAAAAAGGGCATGTGGCCTTGAGCTTGCTGCACTGATGGTGAGAGTGCCTTGTCAACTGCATGGGTGGCGGCTATTTGTTCTCATACTTGACCGTTGTAAGAAGTCAGAGACTCGTCAGTATCAAAAGCTCTTAGATTAAGATACAACTACAATTCACAGTACATTTGCAGCATACTTTAAGTGTGTTGTGAAAGTATCCTGCTTTGTAGTTCACCTCTGAATAGACGATCAGTACACATGAACTTAAACGAGTCTGAGGAACTCACTGACCCCAGATCAGTATTTAGAGTCATGCAGGAGGTGTAGTATTGTCTTTTAAAGCCAATAAAGACACACTCTGTTGTGTGTTGTCCGAGTAGCGCATTGAGGAAGGCTGACATCTTACAAATAACATGCAGGTTGTGTTTGGAAAGTTGGGTGGCAGGATGTTTCGTGTCACGTTTTGAACTCTTCTAACTGAACTTGACATTTTTAGTCTGTTGCTCTGAGAGAATGAGCAACAGGCTCCTGGAGATGAAGGCAGGTGACGCCCGTGTAGATTGTTAAGTGCTACTCAGAGAGCAAATGATCTGGTTAACAGTTGGTCACAAAAAAGAAAATTGATAGTGTTCAGCACATGGTTTTTTGGGTCAACATGTTTTTTTAAGTCCTTATGTTCTCTAGGTTTTCATAACCTGCCCTACCTCAATAACTGGGGGGCCTCAGGTCACAGCACCAGCACACCCCCTCCTATTGCCCTGCCTTTCCCTCTGGTCCCCTTCCCCTCTTACCCTTTCACAAACACACATGCTCACATACTTGAAGTTGCCCTCAAAGGTAGAGCTGCACTTACTGTGAAGAGTCCTTCATGAAACTAACAAGACCCAGGTTGTTAATAAATGAGTGTTTCCTGTACCTGTCCCCAAAAAGAATGAGGGGTTAAAGGGAGAGAAAGATGGAGGGAGAACCCCAGAGGAAAAGAGAAGGGGCAATTAAGAGGGTCTTTCTCTTCTGGGCTAATGAACTGAAATGTTATGGCTCTCTGCCCAGCATGGGTGACAATGGAATGGACAAACCATATAATAAATCTTTTTTTCATTCACTTGTTTACCTTTTTTTTTAATCTCAAAAATAAATGAAGGTGAGGAATCAAGCTAAAGGAATTTATTGACTCCCAAGTTCCAGTCCCTCTTTTTTCTCCACCCATCCCTTCCTCTCCCTCTTTTCATTCTCACTACTTCCCTGAAAGGCTTGTCCATCATCACCTGCCTGCAGAGTTAAATCCTTTGGGTGTATACTCTCTGCTGCATGAATGATTGCTCTGTTGACATGACTGCATGGGACACACACAAACACACATCCTCCTGCCAGATCTAGGGGCAGATTTACACATACTTTGTAAGAAGCGAGGTACAAAAATAAATCTGCAGAAAAGATTGCACGGTGTGTTGATGTGATTATAGATCCAGACAGATAAGGGTTTTACCTTGGAGTCCTATGAGACACCTTAACAACCACTGAACTTTTGACTTGTGTTTGCTGCTGTGTGTTAGTCCAACAACATGTGGACAAGGACTGTTCGCCAGACTGACAAAAAAAATCAAAGCTGCATGTTGTTTGGAAATGTGAAACATGGGTGGCGGACAATGGATGACAGATCTTCGCATTAGGAAGACTGGAAAAATCATCACATAAGTCTTCATTCCACCAATTACATTCTGAGTTTGTGTCAGTAGTGTGGCATTGCCTTACATTTAAACAGCAGTTCTAACAGCAGTTATTTTTGGGCTACTTGACTTACACCAAGAAGCACTTTCTTGTTAAGATATGCTGAACTCCCATGTATGCAAAGTGGCTTTTTGTTATCTAGCACGTTAGCTTACCTACAAGTCCAGGTCAAGTCAACTTTCCTTAAAGTCAAAAGGAAAAACTTAAATTGCACGATGTACCACAGTCGCTCTCATGAAACAAAACATTCTTTATCTTTTCTGCTCTGTCTGCAATCTTGAAGTGGGTGGTTGTGAGTGGCCAGACACAAATAAACTATGCCAAAGCGGCGAAAAACTGGCCTGATTGAGAGTGACATGATGATTATGGTCAGTTTTTGACATATCAGAGTGGTGCATGGTTGCCAGGAACAGAATTCTGGCTGAACTTATCTCGTATGTCTGTGCTGATTTGCTAGTGTTGTAAAGGCGACCACTCCTCTTCTTGTCCCTACCCCTTAATTTGTATGTCAGCGATGGACTATAGGTTTTCAGCTTTTTTACACTGATGTATTTTTACTAGCTGACAAAAACCTCTCCTGTCCATAGTGTATCCCTTTATTTTGGCCATTGTTCTAACTAACGAAAGACAAAGTCAGTCAGATGGTCTTTCTATGGATTACACTTTGGTCCAAATTGAAGCCTCTTTTGTATTTTGTGTTAAGTGTAGATTAAACTTCTACATCACCTTACGTTTTCAATGGGTACTTTTAATAAGGTCCTGAAACCATGTGGAGAAAACACAAAACTTGTAAGAACCACAAAACTTCAGCAAATATATCCAAGTGCACAGTGTGATTTATTCAAAAGTTCTAAGAAAAAGGGAAGAAGGATTTGTTGCAGTTTTTTTTTTTTTTTGATGGTACAAAGTACAGTCCAAACAGATGGTCTTATGGCCCACAAAGGATGTGTAAAATGTCTGCTTTCCCAATGAAAATGGAAACTTGTTCAACAACTCTTGAAATAGGACAACAAACCTGGTTTTGTTGAGTAGAAGATGATTGCTTATGTAACAAGGGAGCATCAAGCATATTAGCTTTTAATTTGGTACAGTCCAGGATGTGGGATTGGTAATGGACTGCCATGCTGCTATTCATACCACAGTACTCAGACACGTGTCAAAGACCCACAAGTGTCTTGAATTGAATTTAAAGAGCCAGTGCAACAATGCGAAACCACAGTTATTAAGGTAAAATTTAGAGAAGTTGAAGACCAGCCTGGTGCCTGTATGCTAGATGAGCTGCAAAGGTCAGTTGGCAATTATAGGCACACCAGTCAGGACCACTTTGCAATAATCCAAGAGTAAAACCTGAAGGAAAAGCCTTGACCTGAAACTGTCCAAACACCCCAGTGAGAGGGCGAAGACTCTTTTCCATGTTGTAATGACAGAATCTGCAGGAGTTCCTCTATGGGTATGATTCATGGGTCACTTTTTAACATAAACATAAATAAACATAGTATTTTACTTTGACACAAAACTTGGATTAAATGAGCTCCATCGTCGAATGTCTCTGGTCGCCTTTTTATTCAGATAAGTACCTAAAAGGAGGTGTCACAATGAAGTTCATACTATTGAGGTTGAGCATCAAGTGGTGAACTTGAAACGTCAGAAAAACACACAAAAAAGGAGATTCTCTCTGGGTTTAAGAGAAAAACAGAATAAGTAGAGTGTCACTTGCCTATTTATGGTACAGAAATTATGAGTCTTGTCATGAGTGAAATAAAGGGACGGAGTAACTTAAGATGTTGACAAAAAAGAGAGGACCCAGAGCAGAACTAGGTGGGATACTGAATGTGGAGCTAAAGGGTCAAGTTTTTTTTATACCTGCAGGCATAATAACTCAAATAATGTAAAATAATATGTCCAATTCCTTTTTTGTTCACTTTGTGGAACTGTTTTTTTAGTTTTGTTACTACAATTTTATTTCTCTTTTTTTTGTATATATTTAAATATATATACATATTTTTATATAAATACATTTTGTACATTATACATTTTTTATACGGTCTTAGTTAATTTTTCACAATTATCTGTGCATTGTGTGCATGAGTGTACTTATTCATCTACAGTATGTTGGCTATGCTGATCCTTTGTTGCTTAACAATGCAAATTTCCCCACCGTGGGATGAATAAAGGTTCATTTTATGTTATCTTATAATCTCCAAGTCACTCTGTCAGTGCTTCCTTGAGCAAGCCTGCATTCATGACTTTCAGGGAACCTTTCATTTCAAGAATCTTCAACCAAGAACTTGTTGTCAATGTAAATGTTCATTGCTCTACATTGGGACAGAAACACTTATTTATTTTTGTAGTATACTTTCATCTGTGCTTCTCCGTCTGCAGCACAAGAATTTGGTCATGGTGACCTCATCCAACCATTTGTGTTCACACATGTACCCCACCAGAACAATGTTATATTTCAAGAGTGCACTGCGTGTGTGAAAGGGGCAGTAGTTTTGTTCTCCTGCTCAGCTCAAATTTTCTTCCTATGGTCACGTTCTAATTTTTCCACCGCAGCATACTTTCATTCATAAATGACAGCAGCAATATATTTCAAAGAACAAATTTCTCACACACTATTTAGGCTCTCCAGGAATCCTAAAAGAGGAAAAGAGACTGAAGAAGAGAGGAGGCAAAAAAGCAGAACCAAGACAGTGAGTTAACCGCATCCAGCTCTTAGAAGTAGATGACATAGTGCACCATGCATTCAACAGCATCCAAAAGCTTCTGCTGTGAGAGGTCCAAAAACAGAGCCAAAGATTGTATCTCTCTCAGAGTCTGTTGCAAACAGCTCAACATATTCGCCAAGATTATTATTACTTTTGGCTGCTGTTGCTCAGCTCAGACAACAATCTAATGATGATGTGCTGTGATATGTTTTATATTTATGCAACTTTCACAACTTCATATTTTTTTTCAATGTGGTGCAGATTTAGACCACCCTGATCCTAGCCCTAAAAAAAAAAGGTTGACACGGTAAGAGTTAATGGACTAAAATGAAAGAAAAAGTGAGTGAGAGAGAATAAAGTCAGAGGTGTAATCAAGTCACAGAGAAGGGGAGGAAAAATTAGGAGTAAAGACAGATGGAAAGTGTAGGGAGAGAGAGAGTGAAGGGGGGTTGGAGGATGGTTGATGGTGGATGGGAGTAGCCGTATGAGAGTAATTATAATGACTGATGTTGTTTACTCCCATTTCCCCTCGCATCATTTATTCTGTGGAGGTGGAAAACCCACCCACTCTTTCTTTCGTATTACAGACCAGCGCTACAAAGCCATGCCAAGCCGTGTCACAGTCTCCCCCGCTAACACTAGCAGCACTTTCTCTGCCCTCTGCCTCTCCCTTTCCACCCCCTTTTACTTCTATTCCACCTCTATTTGACTTCTCTCTCTTTCTTTACCTCCATTTGCCTTTGTCCTTATCTGTCTCTATCCCTTCTCCCTCTTTCCATTCTTTTGTTTTCATTACTGCTGTGTGT